TTGTTTTAAATTCGCTCAAGAAGTTGGTCACTTGCTAGGTCATTGTTATTGTTATTCACTACTGTAGCGTATGTGTAATTAGCTATATTTTGTTAAGGTCGTTGGCTGAATTGTTGGGTTGGTGTGGTATTAGGGATAGTGTTGGTTCTGTCTGGTATTTTATTCAACGGTTGATTCGGGATTCTGAAGACTTTGTAGATGGAACATTCTTTATAATTGGCCGCCATATAAGGCGAATGTTGCTGGGGTGTTTTTGATTTGGTATAAGTTTTGCTGTCGTGCGATTTTCCACATTTGACAATTATATAGCTTGTTGCAATAGGATTTAGAGTGTCTGTAGGCCTGCAACGTATGCACTAAATTATATCATTTTTGGTTCGTGGTGCTTCTATTCTAATGTTGTTATTTATTAGATTTCCCATATCGTAAATTTGTTTATTGTTCGCATTTGGCTTCAGATCAACGAAGAACATCGATAAGGGCTCCTTGCTTACCCTGTGCCTAAAATTGATAATGTCTTTATATAAAAATTACTTTGTGTCCCTTTCTTCGAGCACCGTTTTTATTCTGTCGGAATAGAGTAATGAAGGTCACGTAAGACGATTCTGTAGGATCTTTCTCGTTTAAATTGGCATGTATGATGTATTAGGTTGGTATCTTTTAAATGCCTAACTAGTTTAATGTAGCCTTCAATGCTATGGGTGTCTATTTTAACAATATTATTTGATTGTGATTTAGTAATATATGATTCGTCTTCTAGGACTAAATCATATCTTTGAAATTTTTGTCACCGTAAATAAATATTGGTAGAGGTCGGGGATTTTGACTGTTGTTTTGTTTAAATGCCCAAGTAAAGAAGTATTAGGGTCAATTAGCAATTATATTCTATCCTAACTTATCTAGGGATGAAAAACTTCATAAACAAAATTCTACTCACTAGTGTGCCTTAGAGTCTAATTATTTAGTTACACTACCGTTAACGAATAACACTAAATTGCACTATATTCTAATTTTATATAACATCATTGAACTAACTTAAAAGTCTTGATTTTCTTAAGCCTTCTTGTTAGACTGGCTTTATTGAGAAGCTGGATAATGTTAAGGTTTCCATGTTGGAGCAGTCGTTGTTGGTAATTACTGGCAAATTTTTGTATTGTATTTTCAACAGTCTTCACTTTAAGATCAGTATTATGACAGTACCAGGGTGCATCGATAATGTTCCTTAATACTTTATTCTGGAAACGTTAAATAATTTAATGTTATTTTTACTGGCACAGCCCCAAAGCTGGATACCATACGTCTATACGGGTTTTAATATCTGTTTGTATATGGATAATTTTGAATTTTTTTCCAGCAAACAATACATTATTTTGTATTTTGTACCTAGCTCTTTGCCTTTCTTTTTAATATTGACTTTCCAGGGATCTGAGTATCGTTTATTCTAATAGGAATATTACCGCCTACGTGAGTTTTTCCAACAGCAAGGATTGCGATAGTCTTTGGCTCAAGATTACGAATATATTTCGTATTATAATTGTGAAGATATGAATTGCTAGTGAAAGGAAAATGTTGCCAGCGATTATTAGTTTAAATCGGAAGAAAAGAAGGTTGTTTGAACTATTTCAATTTTTGTTGAAGTTAAGGCATTGAGGGAGTAGAAATGGAAAATATTTTGATTTAATATTTTTGTTTATTTAAGGAATTGATAGTATTACATTTTTAGATAAAGTGAATTCACCCCAGATTGGGATTTGTTTATTGACTGGAAACTATAAACCAAAGGTTTCCTTATCAATGTATTTACATTTTACTGCAAATTTGAAATTTCATTTCTATGGAACATTATAGATTTTATTCTATAGAGGGTGATGTTCTACTTTGGATTTTCTCAAAAAGCTATACCTCACCATGTTAGATTTTTATTTGTGTGGTCGATTCTTAAAGATTTATTTCACCAAATTCAGCCTGTAACTAGAGAAGATCTAATAATTCAATGGATACAAACTTCAATTGATCATATTCCTAGGGCTGAAATAGAAGCTATTGTCAATTCAACTAGACAGAGACTTCATATTGATAAACCTAACTTAACCGATTTTAATGTAAGACAGTTTTGGTGTTTTTGTCCCACATGCCGAAATAGGCATGTGCCGCACACATGCCTTTTTTGCCATGTGAAATATACCTATGTAAAGTTCCGTGTTTTTTTTTTATTTTATCAAAAATACCTGCTTTGTCAATTTTTGTTCATGAAAATTAAAAATTGCTTTGAGTTATCTATAAAAATGTCTTCATTTTCTCCTTGCCATATATGCGGTACATTCCTTCTTGTTACTTTCTAGTTGATTCTTTTATATTGTTTCCATCTGCTGGGATAGCTGTGTCATCGGTAAACGTTGCTACTTTAACGTTTGATGGTTGTGGTATGTCAGATGTAAATAGCAGATACAGTACGGGTCCAAGGTGTAAAGTGTGGATTATAAGTCTTCATCTCATACACTTACTTGAGAATATCACAATATTGTTTTGGGAAGAGATTTGTTAGTTTTTATTCCAAACCATCCAACCATATCTTGTCGGAGGCATGTGCTACATCTAGAAAAAGTGTAGTACATATCTTATTTTCTTTTAATGTTTTTTCTATTTCATTTGTTATTCTGTGAATTTGATGTATGGTGAAATGCTTAGTCCTAAAGCCAAATTGATGTTCTGCAAATTAGGTTTTTGCTTTCTATTATGGGTTTTAGTCTTTTTAAGAGAATATTTTCAAATAGTTTAGATATTACTGGTAACAGCTATATTCGTCTGTAGGATTTTGCTTCATTAGGTGGTTTAATAGGTATAAATATCATTATTACTTCAGATATTTTCCATATACTTGGTACATATTCAAATGATACATCTGCATCTATTATATAAGTTAGTTTTATGATTGCTTTTCTTGGTAATTGTTTTAAGGTCTCACCTGTGATTAAATTGTATCCTAGTGCTTTAATAGGACTAATATTTTGTTTGATTTCTTTCAATATTTTCTTTGGTGTTGCTTTTAGGATATCTATTTTGAATGCTTGTGGGTTTAAATCCTCGCTCGAAGTTTGGTTGAAAGATTTTTTTATAGAATATCAGCGAATGTATCTGCCTTTCCTTTGTTTGAGCGTGCCCAGTTGTTATTATCTAGTTGTTGAAGTGGCATATGGATAATTTGCCGTTTTAATTTCCTGATAGCTCTCCATAACGAATATCCTGTGTCTTTTTTACCTGTTTTGCCTTTCGCTATCAGTTGTTTTATTTCTTGAGGATATACGTCATTAATTATTTTTCTTTTTATTTCTGGTGTGTTATTCCAGGCTGGTTGTTGTATGTTAACAACAAGTTTTTCTATCTCAAGATCTATACTCCCCACAAAAATTATCGCATCACTAAAATGTTTGCAATGTATGTTTATAAAAACAGGCAGTGCTAAAAAACTGCATTTCTCCTCTAATAACAGAGAGAATAAAACAATCAAAAAATAAAATTTTACGAAAAGATAAGGCTAAAGTAGGCTATTAATTATAACATGCTAATATTGCTGCTACACTCCACAGGGTGTTACGAATTTTCCAACCAAAACCTATATTATTGTACCACCCGGTATACGCTCAAAAATTAAATATTATTTAAAGAATCAAAGAGATTACTATTCCTGAAGAATCAACTTATCTTCCAAAAAAAGAATATCCAAATCGATCAAACGGTTCAGAAAAAACTCCAAATTTTTGAAAACAATTAGTGATGCGATAATTCTTGTGGGGTGTATATTTGTTTCTTTGATCCGAGTAATTAAATTAGCTCCATTCTAGTGGGTTGTTCTGTTTTAAAGTTTACCCTGTCTGTTTTTGTATTGCACAGAGTAGGATTGTTTCTTTTTGTGATTGTTTTCGCTTAATATCAGAATCACCGGAGAGTGATCTGAATCAAGGTCATAATTTTTATAAATGTATGTCATGTGTCGAACATTATAAATGTTATTAAAATTCAGCATCGTAGTCAACGTGTTTAGTCGTTGAACAAGTGCCGTACTTCTTCATAGGTTCGGTTTCGATCACCATATCTAATTTACATTATTATCTGGATTCGTTCTCTGTCTGATAAGTTTAGCATTATTCTTTTACTATTAAATACTGTAGATATCACCTTTTTTAATATCTACTACTGATATTTTTAGTATGAGATTAACTATCTACCAGTGGTGAACCAAGAATAGTGAAACATATATAAGTAGATTTATAGAATTGCAATGTTATAAGCTCTTTCATTAGAAATGTCGTAAGTTTTTAATATTCTTGAATAGAGAAAAATAATCTATTCTATAGGATATTACTCAATCTACGTTTTCATTTAAAAACATTCAAGATGGCGGTCGTACGCTAACCGTTACATACATTTGACATGTCATTTAAATAATGCAAAATGCAGTCCAATTTATTACCCTACAATTTTATAATTATACATTTATGTGGTTTAAAGAAAATACGGCCAGACTTTTTTGCTTCCCTGTATATAAATGACGTCACAAACTTCTATTAATTGCAAATTTAATTTTGATATTTTCAGGAAGGCTTTGATGATGAATTTTAGTCAATAGGGCTCAATTTGTAGCCCAATTTCATAGGGGGATGTATTCTTCTATTTTATTTACTTTGTAAGTGCTACATACACACTCTTTTTATTTTTTTGCGTAATGCAAATGTGTCAATTAAGTGCTGATAAAATAAAAATGAAATGAAAAAAAAATATAAATTTTTAGAAACATTCAAGATAACCCTGTACATTTAACTACTATTTAAATACGACCATTATCAGATTCTTAATCGTTTCGTTAATGTTTTGAAATTTACCTAACGTTTATTCCTGTATTATTATCGGTCAGAGACAACTTATAAGTAAATGAGCTGTTAAGCTCATAATAGATATACTTATTTACAATTTTAAACACATTAAAAATAAAAAATAACAATCAATGAATAAAATGTAAATAAATGTCGTCGGTTACAACACTATAAACTGTTGTATAAAAGATTATTTATTGTGTAGAATACAGTTGATGTGTTATTATGTTTGACGAATTTAAAAAAAGAATGTTGTACAATTTAGAATAGATACTATTTTGTTAACTCAAGTTCCAGGTGTGTGATTAGTTGTTAAAAATGTGTCGGTATAGGTTAACAGTGGAAGTACCATATCTGCTATTCTATGGTACTTGTATTATGGCTGGTAAGTTTTTATTATTTAAAGAGAGAATGAATAGTTGATGGTGACAATTTGCACCATCCACGTTCGTTACTCTTGACAAATATTCAAAATCATTAAAATTATTGATAGTTTTTTTTTTTTTAAATTGTGACATTGTCCTAATGATGGATTCATAGCCGAAAGGAATTTTATAGGCTTAAAAATATTTTTCTTCGTTATTTATTTATTTATTTATTTATCTATCAGTCTATATGTCGTAGCAAGATTACAAAATCCGCCGTTTTATCAATTGTCTAGGAGTTTTATAAACAGCGACCAAATATAGTTAAATTTTCATTTACCTTTCATTATTTTGCTATCTGGCTAGCGAGATTATAAAATGCTCAGGCGTTTTATAAAACGACGGTTACCGCGCGGCCAGATTGTCAAATGTTTAAAAATATCCCCTTTCTGTCAATCAGGGTATAGTTCTTCCATTATCAATTGCAGATCATGAAAACTCGTTCGGAACCTTTACCGACAATTTTGTTTGATCTGCCATAGGCGTAGATACCTACCTCATTTTATAAGTTTATTTTATTAATACTTTTAATATATATCATATGCAAGAAAGTATTCGTTATAAGGAAATCGAATAATTATAAATTGGACGTTATTATACGCCCTTATTTAGACAGATGCACTTAATTGTAATCTTACTTGGACTTTAAAAAAAATCATTATAGCTCGTTAACTTGTTACAACTGAATATTAAATTATGAAACGTAAAAAAGCAAGTAAAGTGTACCTGCCTGTAAGGGCGTTTGGTTTAAACAGGGTACCAGACGTGAACTGAGCCCTTTTTGTACCCCATTCGTTCTTTTTCTGGAAAACGAAATTTCAAAGAAAAAATCATAAAGGAAAATAAAATCTTTGCAAATAAAACAAAAGAAAAAAAAACAATTCAATTCTAAAGTATCTTTATAAATAATCATGGCAGTCTGAATCCTCTGAACTAGAGTCATCATTTGGTTGAATTATGATGGGTTGTAAAGAGGGTAATACTACATACTCATCTTCTTCTTTGATAACATGTCCAACACAGTTTTTCCAAAGCTCTTGGCGGTCTGCTGCTAGAACTTTTTTTACGAGTTCTACAACTTCTTTACTCAGTTCTGGAGACTGATTACATTTTCGTAATTCTGATTTTAAGTTTGCCAATATTAACTTTATAGGATTAAATATGCAATAGTAAGGAGGTAGTCTGAGAAGAGTTTGCACAGCTTGTCAATATAATACATTTTTTCTAACTTTATACCTTTAATAACAGTAAGCAATTCTTTCTTTGTTGGTCCTTTTTTACTATCACTGGCAGGAATAGGAATATTTTTTCACACATAAAAGCTAAAATTTGAGCTTTTTTATTGCTACTATTTGGTATTTTAAGGAGTTGCCGCGAGTGGTAGGATGCGTTGTTCATAACGATTACTGACTGTTGTGGAATGTATGGTAAAAGCTGTTCATTAAACCGTTTTTCAAATAATTCTGCTGTCATATCTTCATGATAATCAGCTGCACAGTTTTTAATTTGTTTAGCAGATAATAATAAAGCATTAGGCGCGAAACCGTCTTTGCTTCCAGCGTGTACTATTATAATGCGTTTCCCTTTAGAACATGGCCTATTCAAACAGCAATTTTTACTACTACCAACCCAACCAAAATTTACTACATCGTGACTGTCAAAGCATGTTTCAACTAGATAAATTATGTGTCTATTAGAACTTCTGTAGCCTTTTATCTGACGCAAATAATCTTGTCGCCATTGAACTATCCTTGACGATTCGGTGATTGCCATCTGTTTATTCAATTTTTTGTGTTTAAAACCACATGCTGACAAAACTTGACGCAATGTTTCCAAACTGGTATAAGTGTATCCTAGAAAATCTGCCACCTTTTGATCTATTACTTCCAATGTCGGAACCCTGTTCTCCTTATATAAACTATAAATTATCCTTCGTATAAAATCTTGGGTAGCTCTGTCAACTGATTTCAGTTTTTCGGTTTTATGAATAATCCACAGCAACCCCTTTCGTGACTACCGGATAAACGGAAAATTTATTTACTTTAGTTAATTCAGCAATTGTTATTATGAACGCATTCTTAGACTGCTGAATATTTTCCTTTTTTAAACAGTCGAATATATTTAAAATAACTTGTTGTGTTTGTATATCTAAATCCTTATCGTTAAAGTTATACCTGTCATTAATCTCACTGCACTGTGCAATTTCATTTTCTTCATTCACCCATGATCTAAAGAACGCCATATTTATATTTATTAAAAGAAATTTAAATTAAACCAACCACACATACAAAACACACCTCACGATAGTACTCTACTGATATCGCAGATTGTCTTCCAGGAATATTTTCGAACACCTGCCTTCCGTAAACCTTCGGCCAATACAGTGCATTTAAGTTTACGATTCGATGTTTTCATTGGTAAACAACTGATGGTTCGTTTAATATTTACCGCTTTGTATAAGGGGAGTAAACATTATTTTTCGTTTCCTAATTTGGCATGAGTACCGTGCGTATATATTAAATATTGATGATTCCCCGCATAACTGTGTTCTGCAATTAATAATGGAAGGACTATAAAAAGTTTTAATTCTTTTGTAGTCGATTTAATACTTTATTTTTAAATTTTATTTGGTTTTATTTATTTTAACTGTGGCAACATGGACATTAGAAAAGTAGGACTCAGGAGTAAACAAGAAATATTATTATTCCTAATTAGAGGATTTTTATGCCGGTAAGTAATAACCCAACCTCAAACTTTCAAGCAACATTTATTGCTTTTCTCACTTTGAATTTCAGGTGAAATGTCTCATTTATATAACAAAATATAATATGATAATGGTCAATTTTGTGATATACTTTTTGTAACATTTTATACATCATTGTAAAAAGAGTAGGCGTTCTTAACTGCTATTCGCTCAGTGCGAAGTCATGGCAGGGGAAACAAAAGCGATACTAACGCTAGGCTGCGGATAATTCGTGCATTTTAGAGCGATATTTTGTTTTTTCAAAAATGTGGACAAAAACAATACAATAAGCACCCGGAGTTGCTGTATTGAAAATTATAAAAATACTAGCATAATAAAACAGTGTAAATTAAAAAAAGCAAAGTAGAAATAAAATCAAAGAAATAAATAGATAAGTGTACAATAAGAAGAAAAATAAGGTTCATTTTTGTAATACTGGAAATAGTAGAAAGGCTTTAAATAAAAAAGAAGTTATCATTTTACGATGTTCTTCAACAACCCTTTAATCTTAAATGTTCAGCAAGAACTAGATTTGTGCCTTTGATTACTGTATGTGGCTGGAATGCAATTTTGTGACTCACTGATAGGAAACCAGTTCTAATCATCCATTTTAAGTTTTCTATCGAGCAAAACTCAAAATAACAATCCTTCTGTTTATACATTTTAATTTTAAATCTGCACAGGGTGTCCCATATTCGAAGGTGACCATTAGCATTTCAACAACTGTAAGATATACAGGGTCGATTAAATAAGGGCAAAGCTGAGCATTTTTTAAAAGGTTTTCATTTTTTAAGTTAAAAACTTGTGTTCAAAATGTTTTTTATAAACAAGCTTTTGTAGATTGTAATAACTGGTGCTCATTCGTAGATTGTGTTAGATATCCTTTAATTTTTAGACCAAAAATTTTTAAAAGAAACCATGGTCCTCCCAAAGACATAAAAAGGTATAAGAAATTTTATTTTATTTATTTAAACATTGTTCAACAGGTTAAACCCAATTACAGAACAAAAGTGGAAAAAACATCTTTAACAAGAATCATATAGATAAACTAAAATTACAGTAAATTAATTCTAAATTATTTTAAGCAATGTGTTTTTATGTTTTTAATACTGCAGTTAAATATATTCAACTGTTCACTAATATTATTATAATTATTACACATGTTATGTACAGGTGAAAACTTTTGAACGTTTGTCCGAGGAGTTGAAATGTTAAATGCTTCGGCGTTTCGAGGGGTTGCGCGGGGATTCTAAAATTAAGCTAATGTAACAGAGCATCACAATTTAAAATTAATAACTTTGTAGAGGGTACTTATACAGAAGTACTTCCGTCTTACGTCGAGACTTGTCAATCTGTGTCTAGACAGTAAAGCATTTTAAGTAATACCAATCGATGGATAAATTTGGTCTGCTCGAAAAATTTAATATTTAAGGAAATGCCTCTATTGGACAAATGTGTATTTGATAATAAGTATCCCAAATAAATGAGGCATATTCGAGTTTAGATCGAACAAATGAGAAATACAATGATTTAATAGTATCTGTGTTTTTACATACGGTTTGCTGCTATTGAAATGTTATGTATGTGATATTTAAACGACAATTCTGAGTTAAATGTAACCCCTTAATCCATAAAATTGTTGGGTCTAGAAAGCAAGCGTGCATTAAGAACATAATCAATTATAATTGGATATATTTGGATGCGCTTTTAATGTGTATGACATTACGTTACATTTGACGGGACTTTGTTTAAATTTTTCGACAACTGTTCACTGTCAGAAATATTTTCAATAGCTGAATACATATTTTTAAATCATCAGCGTACAACAAATAATTAACATTTGTAGCGTCACCAATGTCGTTGATAAAAATATTAAATAACAGCGGACCCAAATTTGAACCTTGCGGTATACGAGAGGTAGCGCAATATTTGTTAGACTTGAAACCATTTAATTAAACATATTGTGATACAATTGAAAAAGTGCAATCAAACTATTAGAAAGACCAGAGTTTCTGTATCATAATTTTATGATCAAGTCTATCTAATGCTTTTGTCATATCCGTATAGATGACATCAGTTAATTAATTACAGAAAGATTTGTTACTATGGAACAGCCTTTAGCAAAATCATGTTTCTGAGCTGAGATTGTGTTACAAACATTTTGATAAATACTATAATCCAGTAATATTTCGAGAATTTTGCAGAAATTGCAAATGATAGAAATCGGTCTATAATCAGTTCGTTCAATTTTTTTAAAAATTGGGCAGACTTTAGAACATTTCCTCATCGAATGAATTGTATTGGATTTAAGGCAGATATTTATTAAAATAGTTAGAGGGCGAGCTAACACTGCTAAACAATCTTTTAAAATGAACGCAGAAATATGATCCTGGACCTGGGTTTCAAAAATATGAAGCTGAGATGACTTTAAGCAAGATTGGCCGTCAAAAAATCACGAAGAATAACAAATGAACATGATTCTTATGGAAAATAATATGACCCAATTGAAATAGGTGGCCTTAAAAGGTTATTTAAAAAAGATTGACTACCAAAAATCTGATAATATTTCTAGTACCTTAAGAATAATTTTGTAATAGAATAATGGAATATATATCCTCAAAACATGGAGGTAAAGATAAAATGAAACCTGCGTTAAAACCAAAATTTTTGATTCCCCGCATAGCTATTGGAATATTTGTAAAGTGCTGTACCCGATGCGCTGAAGAATTAGTAGTAAAGCATGTTTGGTCCAAATATTGAAATATTCGCAGGCAAGTTAATCATAATTGATGACAGCGAAGAAACATATAATAATGGGCAGGTTATTTTTGAAGAAATACTAATAGAATAGAAAAATGTTAGAGATAATAATATTCCTACGGATAATAATATTTTTGAAACACAAATAATAAACCAGCTGAAAGATATTCCACATCATCTGAAAACTCGGTCGACAGATAACAATTATATAAATGAAAATTTTTCAATTGCACAAAATGAAAAAAATCAACTGATAAAGAACAAACTACATGTACAATGTAAAGAAAAAGTAATAAAAATTCAGAAGGCACAGTGCACAATGGGCCAAAAACATGCAGCTGACCAAACGGTCCAAACCACAAAAAGAAAATTTAAAGATTTGCACTTTGTGGAGCCTGTTCCTGTAGCAATTCCAAAATTTGACATGCATCCGATTAACCCTAAAGCTGTGTTATGATTTATTCTTAAGGTACGAAACTATATATAATAGAAACTAAATATGGGTGCCTAAATCGATGATTTTCTAGGGACGAACTTAACTCAGTTCATTCTTCAAACTGAAATCTATTCATCGCACCAGAAAATAACGGTATTACGTTAAGAGAATCTGTTTCTAAAATTTCTCAATTTGAGGCACAAGGGTGTAAAAAATGCCAGTGCAAACCTAGCAAAGTTCCATGCTGTACGAACAAATGTCTTTGTTTCAAGGCACTGGGAAAATACCATAGTAGGTGCCACTTCAATGGTCCATGTTAAAATAAATAAAATATTCTTATTGTTTCTTCTAAGCTTAGCAAATGTTGTTTTATTCAAGTTTATTTAAATGTTGTATGTTCAAGTTCTTCAGTTTCATTTGTATTAAAAAAAAAAATGTAATATATTCATAACATTGATTTAATTCACATGGTGACCCATTAAATCCATTAGTTGAAATTTTGACTGCCTTAAGTTTAAATAAAATTCGTATTTTACAAAACGATTGATTACTTTCACCCGCCAGAATGTCAAGTCAAAGGCAATCTTAGACATTTGACAATCTGGCCGCGTGTTGACCGTCGTTCCATAAAACACCTGGCGTTTTACGATCTGACTAGCCAGACAGGAAAATATTGAATTTTGTAAAATGTCTAGATATTTTATAAAACGGTGAGTTTAAAATTTGACTACGACATATATACAACTACAACTTTTCATAATAGTAATTTTTAAAACAAAGGTGGATATGATGGTCATATAGAGTTGTAAAATATATTTTTCCCATGACCCACTAACAAAGTTCTAAGAATTTTAATAATTAACTTAGGTCATTAAGATAAAATAACTAATTTAAACGAAGAAACTGTAACCGCAGATAAGGGACACTACCATGATTCTAAAAAATCTATGGTTAATGGGTCTCGCGCCATTAATATCAAAGATACAGGGTATTTTCTAGAGTTTGCTAATTTTTTTAAGAATCATAACCAACGAACCATCTACTATATTTTTTCAAATTTGATTTACTTGTTTCCTTTTCACTGCCTTGACAGTAAAAAGAAACATCTAGGTCCATATTAACCAAAAATTTTTGTGTCTTTCAGGTTTGCAATAAGCCTTTTTTTAGCATAGAGTTTATTTGCCTCAAATTACGTTATCACTATTAGTGGCTGTTCTTATATAAATTTGCATTACCTCTCTATTATTCTCCTTAATAGATGGATCGATCGATATTAACCTTATAACAACTAATATTCCTGAAAATGCTACCCGTACTATTTCTCCACCGAGCTTCCAAATCACTGCTGACTTTAAAATTGAAAATTTGCTTTTAGGAAACCTGATTATCAACCTTATGACTTTTAAAGTATGCTACAACGTCCTCGGGTACCCTGAAGTTAATTGTTCCAGATTGGGAAGGTATACAGACAATGAGACATTAGCCTTAGAACAAATAGTACAACCACACGCCGGTTTGATGACTGCTGTTACAGAAATGGTTCCTAGTACTATTCCGGTTCTTCTTGCTTTGGTTATAGGTTCATGGTCAGATAAATTTGGAAGAAGACCAGTATTGCTTTTTGTTTTAAGTTGTAAGTAGTTATTAAGTAAACATACTTTTCCATTAATATTCAATTAACCTTGTTTTTAAGGTATGACAATTAGTTTTGGAATTAACGCTATACTGCTCCTGTTTGTAGAAATAAATCCATGGTACCTAATGCTATCGACGATACCAAATATGTGCTGTGGAGGAGTAACAACATTCCTTACAGTCACTCTGGCTTACTTGAATGATATGTCTTCACCAACCACTAGAGCAATGAGGTATGTAGACAGACAATTCTTCTAGTTTTATAGTTATTATGAGTAAAGCATTTCTTTTACAAAAGCCGTATTCTCTTGAAAATTCCAGACCTGTAATTTTGAACCAATCAAAATACGTGTTTTTGACAGATCACCATGGCAACGGAGGTATTTTAGTGGAAATTTTTTTCTCGTGGGGTACCCAACAGCGAATTGTACTGGAAATTTTTTGACGTTTACAATAACAGACCATTTTTGACAGACTGGTTTTTATTTGTTCACGTAATAGGTTTAGTTTTGATACATTTTATTTACAATGCTAAGGTGTTTTCTATATTCTTCGGCCACTTCTTTTCTTCTTAATGGCGAAAATGCTTTGGATGCTTTGAATTATGTGTCTATGTCTAATAAAATATATATAATATTTAGACACTAATTTATTCACCTTTTTCCCATTCAGCACTTTGAATTTTGCGTAGTTTAGGTGCAAATATTCGTGGACAATTCGGAACAAATTTTCGTTTTTCAAGTTGGAGCCACAATCCTCTATTAATCCGAGTAAGTAAGTCATGGTGCAATTATTGATCATTACATCAGACAATTTCACGCATATTTTGCATAGCGTATGATTTTCAAATCGATTCATTTTTAAACAAATAGGTAATTTTGTTGGTTTTACTTGCTGTGCAATATTCTTTATCGCAACAAAACGCGAGTTATTTAATGTGTTGAACTGTCAAAATACAATGATCACAGCCTCCTAAGATTGATGCTTGCTGACGCTGGTCATGAATTTCATACCATTTTAAAGCGCTCATAACGCATATTAATAAAAACGCAGAAAAACAATTTTCTACCACTTGTAGTTATTCAAAACTTACGTAGAATTAAAGAATATACTATTTTCTATTTTCAAATGGTATTCCCATGCAACTACAATGAGTAGAAATAAGCAATTTGAAGGCCTAAATAATTGCAGCGAAACATTTTTTTACGTCGGGCCGCTTGACAACTTCAAAACTGAAATTATATTCGAGGTTAGGGTCTCACTTAGTTACCATGACAACTCAACAATCAAGGCGACAACACCTTTTATGTTTCACTGGTGACTTGGAGAAAATAATTTGCATTGTTGAGAAACGAAAAATAAATTTTAAAAACATTTAATTTTCAACCATAATTCGGCGTGGAATTTTCTTACCGAATACCACGCGAGGTCAAATTAATATCAGGAAATAATTTGACCTCTAGTGGTATTACTAGTGATAATTACTGGACATTGCGTTATCTCCTTTAATGATCACATAAATTAAACATTTTAAATAAAAAATAAACCTAGAAATTGGTTTTCGGTTGGAATATTTATTTTCTTTCTGCGACGTGGTTTTGTCTCCACAATCAATTATTATATTTTTTTTTTTTAGCTTTATATTTATAGATACTTTACAATATCACAATAATTAACCATTTGGCAGTCAATTAAGTTGAGCTTAAGTCTTGATAAATTTTACAAGACATAAATAAAATTTATTTTTCTCCTTACTTGCTATTTGGGAATATAATTTCTTTTTGATATCTTGACACCTATTACAGTAGTGTTGCCTTTGCTTGTTATTTATTTTAATTTTGTTTAATTCCTTTCAGAATGGTCACGTTTGACATCGTCCAAATTCTAGCGACACTTTGGGGCGGTCTTAGCAGCTCTTACATTCTTTACGCCACCAGCTATTCCGCTGTATACGGAATTGGTTGTGGGATAATAGCATTTTGTACCATCTATACCTACTTCTTCGTACCAGAATCTCTTAACGATGTGATCGATCAAAAACCGAGCTTTGCTAGCGTGTTCACCTGGAGCAACGTGACTGATCTTTTCAGAATAGCCGGAAAAAAACGAAGATACAACAGAAGATACATTATCTTGCTTATTATTTTGTGTGTTATGCTCTTGGGGTTCATTTCGACCGGCGAGACGAATGTTAAAACTCAGTTTTTGAGGAATAAATTAGGATGGACTTTGACTAAGAGGAATGTCTTTGGGGCTTGGTCCAGTATGGTAATCGTTGTTACTACGCTAATCGTTACTTACTTGCTGCACAGCAGGTTAAAGGTCAAGGAGGTTGTGCTAATTTTTTTGGCCCTCATTTCCGGGATTGCCAGTAGTGTATTGTATGCTACTGCGGACAGTGATACCAATATTTATGTCTGTAAGTATATATAAACAGTTTATTGAAGTTTTGGAAATAAAATAAAGATTATGACTTTAGTTCATGAAGCTACTTTGGCAAAATATATTTAAAACATGGAAAGGCATGGGTTTGCGCTAACATCGGTTGATGTGAAGAAGCTTGCATTTTTTTTGCTATTTAAAATAATATTCCGAACAGATTCAATATTGATACAAAGCAAGCTGGCCATGACTGGTTCGTCTCATTTATGCAGAGACATCCGAAAAGCTCAAGGAATATCTATAGCTCAAGCCCAAGGTATGAATAAAGAAGAATGCGGATGATACTTTGATCTTTTGAAAAAAGTATTAACAAACAATGATTTATTAAACACTCCGAGAAAAATATTTAATATTGATGAGTCCAGGCTGCAACTCAACAATAACCCAGGGAAAGTTGTTGCCACTAAAGGCATCAAAACTGTCAACTGCGTCACAAGTGCTGAGAAAGGGGAGACGATATCAGTAATAGCCTGCGTAAATAAAGACGGTAATTTCCTTCCTCCCGTTTGTATTTTTAAAGGCAAGAAGAAAAAACAAGAATTTGAAAATGGCTTGCCTCCTGGTGGTAAAGTCATGATGAATGAAAAGTCGACCTATGTAACAACAGACATTTTTAAAACATGGCTTCGAGAGCACTTTATTGCAAGAAAGGAGCCCGGTAAACTACTTCTCATTCTAGATGGACACTCCTTGCACTGTTCGGATGTAGAGTTGTTGGATTTAGCTGCAAGCAACGATGTTTTAATTTTGTGTTTGCCAAGCCATATGACCCACTGGTTGCAGCCACTGGACAGATCATTTTTTAGGCCTCTATAGACCTACTGATTACAGGCATGTAACACCTTGTTACATATTCATCCAGGTCGCAAATTAAGTAGGTTGCAGTTTCTGGCACTCTTAAACATCGCATGGGGAAAAACAGCGACAGTACAAAATGGAATTTCGGGTTTTAGAACCTGTGGTATATATCCGTTTAATGGTACCATAATGCCAGATCATGCTTTTATTCAGCAAAATCCTAAGACAATTCCCATTAACGATATTTTAGAAGAAAACGTTAATAATGTCATTTCTAATGATGCCCCCATTATTAACAATACCCCTACCGATACTTCTAATGACGGGGTCAATATTATTGATAACGTTGCAGTAATCTCCAAGACCAACAACACAACATTTAAGGAGATTGCGCCTATTCCAGTTATGCCTGGATCAAGTGGTTGTAAGAAAATGAAACAGCATGCTCAGCTACTTACATCTCCAGAAATTATTGCACAAAAACGACGCAAAAAATAAATAAAAGAAAAAAGGAAATTGCAAAGATAAAACGCAAACAAGAAAAGGAAAGAAAAGAAGATAGTGAAGACAAGAAAAAAAAATAAGACATTTACTGTTAAAAAGAAAAAACGTATTACAAGGGGTACTGATGATACCAGTTCATCATATAGCAAATTGGAAGTGCTTACAGTAGAGATCGAGGGTTCAGAACTGGAACATGATGATACTATGTTGACAAAAAAGGTTCGAAATGTGATTGGTTACAATGTCTAAAATGTTATGATTGGGTTCACGAGATATGTACTTATTTCGACGCATATTGTGCAGAATGTATCCCACTAAATCAACTTGCGAGTAGGTCTAGAGCTCTGAAGATATACGTTTTATTAGCCTATGTATAGTTGTACTAATCAATATATTTGCTATGTTTTAAATAATACATATTTTTTCCAATCTCAAAAAATTGTTAATTTCGTACGAGAAGAGCATGTTGCCATATTCCCCAACGCGTGATGTCATATTACCCAAGGGTACGGGTAATATGGCAAGAGCGTATCTTCCGAAATGTCTGCTTCTAAATATCTTCGTGGGAATATGGCAACGAGCCTTTCTCGTCAGACACCCATATAAACACGCTCTAAAATGCCACCTTTCCTTGCGGCTAAGTTGGTTGTTCGTTAGAATGTGAGAGTTTGAAGTTTATGTGGCTATATTCCTCCGTTTTACTCTATCAATAATCGCTAAGGTTTTTTAACTTCTTTTGCAAATATTTCATGAAGTGCATCTTAATATTCCTACCTAGAACCTCTTCTGTTTTAAGTTTATGTTTATGATCTCTGTAACTGGTATGGTTTTGAAGAGTTTCTTCTGTAAGTGAATGATTACTCTGTAAAATATATACAAGATTGTTAAAAATTACAAAATTACCACTATAAATCGTTCATCCAAAAAATGTATTTAAATCTTTTTGATTGTCTTCAAATCTAAAAGTAACACCAATAATATATTATTATTAATATTTTCTAGAAGTAAAAAATGTAAATTTGTTCATATTATGCTCATCAATATCAAATCTTTTTGTAATATAAAAAAGTACTTCTCTGTTTTAGCTGTGCCAGTAGGAATTTTTAGTGGATTGGCTAATCCGATGTTTAGAACTATTTTGGTCAAAATGATAGTACCTGGTGAAATGGGTAAAATATTTTCCTTGTTGATGGTACTGAACAGTTTTTGTTTATTGGGATCGGCATTGATATATCAGGAAATCTATAATACCACCATGACTACTCATCCAGAAATTTTCAATTACATTTCCATTGGACTAAACACTGCTGTATCTGTGATTGTAATGTAAGATAAGGACTTCATTGTCTATTTTTATGTTGAAATAACAGAATTTTTTCTGCTCTTTAATTTTAAGAATCTGCTATTAGAATTTACTAAATATTTATTCAAAAATTTTATGTAAATTATATATTTATACAAAATGTGAGTTTTAAAGTAGACTGACTTCTACTTCAACTCCAGGGGAGCATTATTTAAAACATTTTTCTAAAAACGATTTGGTAATTAATGAAAGTTGTTTACATTTGCATGTTACTTATATAAGTTTAAATTATTTTATTTTAAATATTTCATTTTTGTTTTAGTATCGTGATGATTTTGGAAATGCGTATACCTACCGAAAAGAAAAAAATTGAAGAAGACCTTGGTACAGTCAGTACCGAAAAATTGACTGAGCACTGATAGTATTAACAACCTATTTATTTTTATTGACGTTATATCTGTAAATATACAAATAAATTTATGTATATATAAATAAAGATTAGAATATTTTTATTTTTAAATTAGTGTTTGTTGTGGAAATGTCCTTCAATAAATTTTTTCAGTTCAGTTTGATGCGCTCTTTTAGATTAAAGATAAAAATACAGGGTGATATTATTTCTAACAACGATTTGTCCAAATTATAATTAATAATTCAACTTGAACTTGAAAACGGTTTAATTTTCTTAAATTTAATTCTTTAAGTCAAAATTAAGTTAATTTTTAAGCAGTTATGGCTAAAGATTTTTTGACCAAAGACAAAATTAATTTTAAAAGGGCATGAAGTCGGACATAAAGAACGACGAATAATTGAGGAAACTTTTCTGTTACAAAAGTTATTGGTCCCACAAGGCAACGTAATGAGGTAGATTGATTTTAAAACCAGTAGCAAATATTTTTTTAAATATACTGTAACGATATTTTAATTTATTTAGAGTTTATTTATTTAAAACACAATATTTACAATTTATTTATGACATACTAATTAATTTATACAGTGTGTCTACTTAAGTTGGAACCATATGGAAAACATTTTTATAATTGATTTTAGGAAAAAAAGTTATTCTTGATAAAAAGTCCCGAATAACCCAAAACCTAAAATACAGTCATCACATATCAAATTTTTTAAGCCGTATACGAGGTTTGTCAAAAAATATGAATTTTGCTCAAGAATAAAGTACGTTTATTTTTGACAAAATCGAAAATTTTCATTAAAAAAAGTTGATTAGAATTGAATATTACATTTAAATATGCAATAACACCGATCTATCTGAAAAAAACAGATTTTCTTATTTTTTATAAACTCTACACTCTACACTCTACACATTGATTGTAAATATCTGAAAACGTTATAAATTACGTTAGCTACTATAAACATGATACGCTTTCCTTTTGTTGATGTTTGTGAAGAATTTAGCAAATTTCTTAATGAAAATTTTCGATTTTGTAAAAAAATAAACGTACTTTACTCTTGAGCAAAATTCATATTTTTTGACAAAACTCGTATACGGCTTAAAAAATTTAATATCTGATCACTGTATTTTAAGTTTTGGGTCATGCAGAACTTTTTATCAAGAATAACTTTTTTTCCTAAAATCAATAATAAAAATGTTTTTCATATGGTTCCAACTTAAGTAGACACTGTATAATATTTAGGCACTAACTCACAATTCTAATTTATTTATTACAGTTTAACTTTTCTGTTCAACACTTAAGTGTCCACCAATAAGTCAAGCTATTTATACTAAGTCTAACTCTGCTACGAGAAGCCTCTAGACGCTCCCGAAAATTCCTTCTCTGACTCAACGGCAAACTCCGCTTGTTCCAGCCGTTTCTCGAGCATCAGCGACATTCCTAGAAGATTCCGTCGTTTCGAGCATGAGTCGGGTGGCAAGCCGATAGTCGCTTGCTTTAGACAGAGACGGCTTAAGAATTTTCATAATATTTCCCCCTTCTTAAGAAATAGTTCCTCCTGTAACTAAAACTGAATGGTTGTATTTGCAACTGGATCCTCTTTCACAATTTCCAGTTGCATGTAAGTAACAACACAGTATTTGTTATGACCTGAACGCTGGGAGAATGGCTGCAGACCAGTATTTTAACCTGGGTATCTTGGAAAATGACTTCCACCATGTTTCTAATGATCCTCCAATTCAGCTTGTTGCTCTCTATCTTTGGCATCTGTACATTGGATTCAGGTGCATGCTCCCTCAGACTGAGTAATGCTTCCCATACACAATTATAGGTGGATCGATCTCGGAAGATGTTCTTCGTTACCAAATATAAAAGATAACGCGATCCGTCTTGAAGTTTCAAGGCTTTTCCAGGGGCTGGTAACTGATCTTGAAGTTTTGGCAATTGATCAAACTTCTTCCGGTATACAGATGCCAGACCTCGAGCGTCGTAGATGTTGGCGGAAGTGCTATGGACCAGCGAGTAATCTTTAGGAACCGTAAGCAGCTCTTGTTGTTGCTTGGTTGTAACACCATATCTTGCTTTTCCGGTACCTCCATATGCACCCATAAATTCTTCAAAGACAAGGTCAGGTGTTTCTTATAGCTGGTTTACTTCTTCTTTCTCTTCATGGTCATCCTAAAATGGCGCCAGCCGGTTTTGGTGCACTACCTTTGGTTTACCATTCGGGATCTTACTTATAGGGTAAATGACATCATTGATTTTTTTATTGATGATATACAGACCTTCTCAAGACCTTTGAACCTTTTTGGGTAATGAAACCAGACTTTGTCGCCTTCCTTGAAACATCTTTCTATGGCTTGGGTATCGTATCGCTTCTTCATTCTGTCGCTGGCGATTTGAAGATGATAGCGGACCAATTCATGCATGTTGTCCATTCTTCTTCGTAACTTGATCACATATTCTTCACCAGCTACATCTTCTCCAGGTCAGCATTCAAACTCGAGGTCGCACGGTAGTCTCATCTCACGCCCAAACAGGACCTTTGCTGGTGTTTGGCCTGTTGATTCATTGACAGTGGATCTATAAGCCATTGAAAAGAGCGAAAGATACAGATCCCAATCTTGCTGATGGTTTGAAATCAATTTTGACAGATATTTGCCAATGGTCTTATTCATCCGCTCTACCAGTCCATCGGATTGTCGGTGCAATGCTGTGGTCCTGGCTTTCTTCATGTATAATATGTCACAGACACCACGGAAGAGTTGGCTTTTAAAATTTCTGCCTTGGTCGCTGTGGATCTCCAAGGGCACTCCAAATCGACATATAAACTCTTTTATCAACACATCTGTAACAGTTGTGGCCTCTTGATATGGAAAGGCGTAGACTTACACCCACTTCGTTAAATAATCCATAACCACCATCATGCATTTATTACCATTCTTGGTCATGGGGAATGGTCCAGCAATATCTAAGGCAATTCTCTCAAATGGGCTACCAACGTTGTATTGCTTTATGGGAGCCTTCCCTTTTCGCCAGTCCTTTACATGATCGAAACTGTTTAACCAGTAAAACCTGTCCCGAACTCTCTGACGGGTTTTCCAAACACCTAGATATCCTCCTGATGAACTGCCGTGTAACTGACGAAGTACTTCAGATACTCTACTCCTTGGAATGACCAACTGTCTTCTGTTCTCGGAACCATCATAATTTTCAATTACTCGCTTTAATAAGCCGTCGTCTTCCAGGATAAAGGAGTCCCACTGAGCCCAATATAATATAACTACTGGAGGGAGTTTTGATACTTCTTGCCAAGTAGGTCGACGATTTTCTTCTTTCCATTCTCTTATCTTTTTTAAAACGGGATCGTTCTCTTGTTCTTCCTTAAGTTTGACAGGGGCCCACTTATCTCCGACAACCGACGTTCTTCGTTCTGTAACTTCTTTAACAGATGTGGCCAACCTCTTTCCAATCAGATTTCCTTGACCAATACCTTCATTGCACTTCGGAAGTTCCACCATGACAGGCGTTGCTTTCTCTACAGTTCCTTGAAACCGCCTTACTCTTTCAGGCAACATCGTTCCTTCCTGTACTGCCACCGGCACGGTTTTTCGAATTCTTATTGTTCTTTGGGTGTTTGCGCGAACTGCTTATATTTCCCATTTCACCGCAAGTCGAGCACCTAATAGTCTTACTTCTCAATAAGGGTTTTTATCATGTGAAACAATTGGTCCAATTTATTTCCCTGTTCTTCTTCTACTACAGTCCTTAGTTTACTGTATTCATTACAATTTAACTTTTTTTATACTAGACTAAAGTATCCGCCGATAAGTCGGGTTTTTATACCAAGTCTAACTCTGCTACGAGAAGTCTCTAGACGCTCCCGAAAATTCCGTCGCTGACTTAACGGCAAGCTACGCCCGTTTTAGCCGTTTCTCGAGCATCAGCAGCATTCCTAGAAGACGGCTTAGGAATTTTCATGAAAATATATATCTCGTGAAGCACAAGATATTAACTTTAAATCTGAGTTTGTCTATGACTCACAGAATGAAATTTTTTTTGCTTTAGTCAGTATGGCCATTTTAACTTCCTATTTCCAGCTATTGGACATTTTCAAACTAATTTAATGTGATAAGAAATATTATCAATTATGTAAACACCCCTCTAGATTTATGGTAATTTTTTAATTTTTTATCGCCGTGAACAGAGAAATGAAATATCGACGTTTTATGAAAGGTCTTTTGTGTCCAATAGTGATATTTAATAAGCGATCAGTTTCGAAGTAGGTTACTTCATCTTTAGCCATATCTAAATAGATACTCAAGGAGTCAATGTATTAAAAAGTAAAAACGTTTAATACAAAAAATTAAAATTAAACAAAAACAAACAATCAGAATTGATGAACAAGGTTAATAATAATTTGGCTTGCCATGAAGTTATCCATTACGGATTAGCTACATAGGTTATTATAAAAAATTTTAGAATTGTTATTGTGTCTACATACAAAGTGTCCCAAAATTAGACGGTCATGTTTTAATAGCGTAATCTACATCCTAAAATAGGAGTAAAAGTTCATATAAACATAGGTCCAAAAACGTTTCTTTTCCGAGATACAGGGTGTTAAATGTGAAGTCCTGATGACACATTTTTGTAAATATTTTTTAAACGTTTAAAGATAACTAAGTGAAATTTAGTACAAATGCTAACCTTTTCACGCTCTATGTAATGGACTAAATCTCAGTTTTTGATCATCTTCATATATGGGTAAATTAGGGGGGATTAGGGTAAAATTGCCCTAAGTTTTTTTTTTGTTGACAGTTTTTAACATTTTTGACCAAAAAATTTGGAAAACCAATGTTTTCTTTGCAATAAAGCTACTCTTGCTGCATCTCGCTAGGACGCACCATTTTCAAGAGAAAAGCATTTGAAAATTTCATGATAAGATCATATCATCTTATTCGTAAGTGCAAACAATAATTAGCAGGCCTGTGGAATCAGAATTTTTTTTTCAGCCTTGGAAAATTGGTGACTAAAGAAATGTTTTCAGATTTAATTGTTTTTTAAATGTTTATTTTATAAAGAAACTTTAAATGGTAAAACTGAATAGTATTTAAACTAAACAATAAAATGATTGACGAGAATTTATTTTTTTAACTGCAGACGTTTAAACTCTTTTAAGGTATCCTTAGGATGGTAAAAAATAAGTCAGATACGTTAAACATCGTAAAATTATAACGAAACTGTATTTGAAATTAAGAATAGCTGGTGATTTCTTAAAAACACGAAGTTTGACTGAGTTAGAGAAGAAATCATTAGTTACCTACTTTTAATTATTGCAAATGCTGTTTGATAATAATTTTAATCTTTTTAACGTGAAATATCTTCCTTTATTGTCCTAAGGATGACTTAAAATAAATCAAAATGACGACGATAAACAAATAATTCTCAAAAATTGTTTTTGTCTATATTACTAAAAATTCTACCAAAAATAAACAATTCTACTAAAAATAACAAAAATTCTACTAAAAATAACAAAAATTCTACTAAAAATAACAAAAATTCTACTAAAAATAACAAAAATTCTACTTAAAATATTAATTTCTACAACAGTTAAATTAAGTGTTCAAAAGCGTTGCCTTGCTGACGAAGGCACATTTCGGCTCTACGGGTAATTGCATGTGAAGCTCGCATAACCTTAAAATTCTTTTGCCGTATTTCATTTCCTGCCAAACGTAGCCTTTCACGCAACTCTTCCTTACTGTCAACTTCTGTAGCGTATACCATATCTCTATACGTCCCCAAAAATAATAATCTAATGGAGTTAGATCCGGAGATCGAGGTGGCCACGGTGTGGGACCACCTCTTCCTATCCATCTACCCGGAAATCTTTTATTTAGCCAATTTCTCACATTAACGCCATAATGGGCTGGCGCTCCGTCGTGCTGAAAGTGCACCTGATGTCGAATATTTAATGGGAGATTATCCAGAATGGGTTTAAGGTAGGTTTGTAAAAAATTCAGATACTTAATTGCATTTAACCGAGCAGGAATTTCAATCGGCCCAATTAATCTGTCATTCATTATTGCCACCCAAATATTAATAGAAAATATATCTTAAAAAAATCGACGTCACACCACACGAGAATTTTCTTGTAAATAAAAATGTTGATTGTGAATATTAAAAACACCATCCCTCATCGCTTCACGTAATAAAAAGAAGTAGTTTCTGATGGTTTCTTATTCAATCACTAAACTCTATTCGTGGTAAAAGGCTTGATAAAGATAAGGATAAATACCCTGCATTCTTAACATTCTTCCAACCTAAATAAACATATTTTTTAAAAGACACGTAAACTAAAGTAAGAATTTAAAAATGCCTTTAATCTGAAACTTGTTTGTGTTATTTTACTTGTAAATTTGAGCAATAAAAACTAAGAATTATAAAATAGTATAAAGAAAAAGAAAAGTAATTATTACTTACCATTGCTCGTGATATTTCTGAAAGTGTGGAAACAGTCCGAATACTCCTTTTTGGGTCCTTTTTAAATATATTAAGGGCGTATTCCAAATTTTTGTTCTCCTGTAGTCTCCCTTGTCCACGATTACGTTGAAATAATCCATGGTCAACTAAATGTCTGTGTGTATTAATAAATACACGGTAGTCAGGTATTTTTCGGTTAGGAAACCGTCTACGGTATGCTTGTACCGCTGCTCTTGCCCTTTCATTACACAAACCATATACAAAATGAATATCTGCCAATTTTCTATTTGAAAATATCTCCGTTTATTAGAAGTATTTTTCTTTCACGCAAAAACGTACAAATTATTACACAATTGACAGCCTATTTTTGTTTATCACAGCGTCTTAAAAAATTGAAAAGCAGCTATTGGATTCCAGGCCAACTAATTATTCTTTGCATTTTCGAATAATGAACTTATCATAAAATTTTTAAATGCTTTTATCTTGAAAATGGTGTGTCCTAGCGAGATTCAGCAAAAGTAGCTTTATTGTAAAGAAAACATTGGTTTTCACATACTATGCCACCGTTGGAACCTTAAATGGGAACGGAATGGTATTTCTGGGTACAATATCCCAGTTTACCTAGTACTTTGACTAGGAGCGTTTGCACTCGAATTCTACGAGGATATTGATTAAATCTTGTTTTTGACAGCTGTCAATAGAAATCTACAGTTGCCTATCCCTTTAAGGGAAGCGGTTCATATCAGAGCCCGACAGGGCCTACAAAACGTCAAATAACGGTTATGAAACTAAATACACGAAAAGACTGAAAGATCGAGGCCGGCCAGACTAGATTTAAGCAAGTTCGCCAGAATCTCGTCTCCTCAAAACATAAGAAAAGCCAAAGTAAAGATCAATCTAGTCCAATATGTAAGTGGATATTCTATACCACTAACGGGCAATAACCCAATACAGGGGAAACCCCTTGTAAAAATTTTCGAAAAACAAATTTCAAACGACCCTGACATCTTAAAAACAAGAGAAACCAAAGTTGTTGCTAACCAAATTACCCCCCAACAGAATCTAAAGAGGAGTTATTAAAGATCCTAACTGAAGGTGACTCGGATGACCTGGAGTTCCATCACTCATCCGACACAAACATGGACATTTAGGATGACAATAACAACAGCAATAGTACTGACAACTCCACAGTTAAAACATCAGTAACATCAGTAAAAATAGCAAATGAATCGAACCCTATTATAACAAACCCTGTAGGGAATACACCAAAATATAAAACCCTCCCTCTACCTTCTCAATTTTGGAAGAAATAATTAGGAAATAGGTAAGGATACAATCATGGGATCTGATCTCCCAGTAGTTGATTTAATCAACGATAATTGTAGTGTAGTGAATGCACAGGCTCGGGGTGGACCGAGTAGCTTTAGGTCTGAATACGAAAATGCACTACCATCTCAAAAAGATACAAATCTATCCCAAGTAACTGAAAACATTTTTAGAGAAAATGTTATAACCTCAGAAGATGACAAACCAAAAGCTCCTCACAAACAGAAAGCAGAAGAAAAATCACCTCACCCAAACAGTGTCTTTATTCTCCGAAAATAGGGACAACCAATCACCCCCGAAAAAGACAATAACATGGAAGTAGACAAGCAAGCTAACAAAGAAAAAAATGAGACCCCATTTACGAACCCGAGAAGATTTAGCTCAAACTTCCAGAGACTGATAAGGGAAAAAACCAAAAAATCTATAACCCCAACAAAAAACCGATTGGAACCATTAACTGATGACTCAGATTCTGATCTTGGCGATGACGAGATCGGAAAAATAGTCAAGAAAAGAAAAAAAGGTGCCACCCCTAAAGAAAATAACAATATTGTGAGACAAATAGTGTGAATAAGATTACTGAACGAATACTGAAGGAAAGCAGTCCAATATTAACGATAAATAAATCAAATCCAAATGTGTAGAACCCAAACAAACAAAACCCAGAAGAACAATGCCACCTATAGTAATTGACGGTAAAACTACTAATCAGAAAAATTTAATCCAAGATATAAGATCCCTTGCAAAAGGTAGTTTTAGCGTAAAACATACGAATTATACTACCATACTATTCATTGATGAGCAAGAGGACCACGAAAAAGTATTGGCCAATATTAAACTTAATAAAATGCCGTATCATACCTACACAAAAAACGATGACAAGTCGCATGCCTTTGTCCTGCGAGGACTGGCAGAGGGCACCAAAATAAGCAATATTGAAGAAGACATAGAAGAGGAATACGAAATCAAGACAAGAGCGGTGTACCAGATTAAAACAAAGGAACACCCTCTATTCTTAGTTATCACAGATCTAGCAATCACGCTGAACAATCTTAACAAAAATGCTCGCCGGGTCCTATACACTAGAGTAATGTGGGAGCTTCGAAAATCAGCAAAACAGATTATTCAATGTCACATATGTCAAGGATGGGGCCACGCAACAGCTAATTGCGGAAGGCCAGCCAGATGCTTAAAATGCACGGGGGATCATCACACCCGCACATGCAATAAATCACGCGATACACCGGCCACTTGTGTAAATTGCGGGAGTGATCACCCCGCGAATTACACAAAATGCAAAATGTACACCGACAGATTAGAACGACTAGAAGAGAGGAGAAATAAGCCCCAGCAACAACCAAAATATGTGACAGCCCCCCACCAGTATTCAACAAATGGGAAAACAGGAACCAGATGTCAAGAGTTAATGAAGAATTCCCTGCTCTACCAAGCAGGAGCTAAAACCCCAACTTCACTTCAAGAACAGAAAGGCCAAGACCAACTGAAGATCAAGTTAAGATCATGAACGATGTCTCGACCCTAAACAATGAAATTGCGGAACTTAATAAAATTATTAATATCGGTGAAATGACTAGAGCCGTTAGAGAACTGAACGCTAGAATGAGATAATGTAAAAATGGACAAGAACTATTCGAAAGATACAATGACTTCATGCCGAACATTGACTTTAACTTCAACTTGAGAAATTGAACTAAATAATAGAGACAAACAAACACACAAAATTTGTTTTTATAATGCAAATGGGATGCGCAACAAAACAGCACTTGTTCGCAGTTTTATTCTCAAACATCAATTTGACATCATACTTCTTACGGAGACACACTACAAACACAGTGACAAAATTAAAATACAAGGGTATGATGTCAGTCGACAAGACAGACCTGACCAATCATGGGGTGGAGTAGCTGTCTTCATAAATTCAAACCTAAATCATATTCAATACCTAAATTTAAAAATCAGTCAGGAGCATTTAATAATCAAAATCAATGAAATAATATTTGTTGGAGTATACAACAAACTCACAAATAATTTTGCGCCAGTAGAACTACACAAAATCATGTCAACGGGTAACAGGGTTCTACTACTCGGGGATCTAAATTGTTAACATCCCCACTGGGATTCTAACTGTACCACCCCCAATAAAAAGGGCAACACGTCTAGTGATTTGGCTTTCTCACGTACAAAAACTAAGACGAGACACACTTACATACGAGGAAAACCCTTTTTTTTATAACGGTTTTTCAGGGAAGACAGATAAAATTAAAATCAGATAAAAAAATTCACACAAATCCACTATCGACTCTAGTCATTAAACCAAAAATGTTCTATTATGTTTTTCCAACAAGGAGAGGACACCTTAAAGTCAAAATATTAATTAGTAGAAGGGTATACACACGGCCCAGACATCGGTCATGGTCAATACATGGCCAGCACAGTAGAACACTTCCAACTACTGACAGGAATGATATGGTACAATATCCGGAAACTGAAGAAATCGCGAAAGCGCCGATCAGACATATTCTTGAATTCATCAAAAAAATCAATATGATGGGATAGAAACTGTGAGAAGTACAATAAGCCTAGAGCTTTAATACAAGTGGGCTATGAACCACGCCCTCATTCAGAAAGATAGATAAGAGAGATCAGTAGCGACTTGTGACCAAAATTTTGGGGGTTCACATTGACAGAATATAGATATCAGTACAGATATATGAAAAAACTTTCGGCGTTTTAGAAAGATTACAATATACCTTTCTAAAACACTGACCGTTTATTACCTATATCTGTACCGACATCTATATTCTACTACTGTAAACCCCCAAAATTTTGGTTACGAGCCGCCCCTGAGAGAGATTATTTTTCCTGAGTTCTTAATCTATTACTAAATTATACCAGGTGTTCAAATTAAAGTGTTACAATTAAATACCGCCTTTTATAAAAGAAAAGTTTTAGACAAAAGTTTTATAGTTTTTTGGGGAAACATTTTGGCTAAAATCGTTTTTGTTTTTTATAGCTAACCATAATATGGCCAACTTTTTTTTCGCGCAGCACAATTTTTAAGTAGGTGTTACTCAATAAATAAAATGAATTCATTAAAGATTCCTATTTTTTTATGAACAGGTATGTAAAAAAATGGGGTTCTAATTTGAAAAAAAAAATCCACCTCGATGTGGCCATATTATGGTCAGCTATAAAAAAAATAATTTAGCAAAAATGTTTCCCCCAAAAAACTATAAAACTTTTTTTTATGAAATTCATTGTTTTGGCAATTAGTGTTGCCTACCTATTAGGAACCATTGCAGGTTCTAAAAGGCATACCTGCGCACAATTTTTAAATGTTAAAGTCAGTAGCGACTTGAATTCGAACGTGAAAAGAATAGATTACGGTCTTACAATTATTAATATTCTTTCGATATTTCTTTTCCGATTTCGGGTGTTAATAATAACCACCTTCCTCTCTATCCCTTCTATTTTCCCTCCATAGGTGGCGAAACCCTAATATTTGAGAACGAACCAGCATCTACCGGTAAGTTATTTATCATTCATTTCGGTTGTGTACATTTTTTTATACGACATTTTTTTGGTCCTTCGAGCCGGATGACTTAAAAGTTTTAAAAATAAATCAATTTAATTTTTCTTTTGATTTCATTGTCAAATTGGTTGTCGAGTTAAATTTTTTGAATAATTTGTTTTATACAGAGAGATTAGGTAGCCAAATTTGATAGTCCGTAAATTATCCACCTACATTTTAGTTGTCGTTGCTAATTAAAATAAAATCCTAATATATTAATCTGAATCCAAATAATAGATTTTTGTCGTGTTAATCGAGATAACACATACCTGGATACCCATTTTCGTAATATATTAAGCCAATAAATACATTAATTTCGTCCAAATTTAGATACATTTTCTAGTTTAACTTTGATACCTAATAAAAACATTTGAATTATTTCGTGAACTGATAACTATCTAAAAAAAAGTATCTTTTTTGTGTCCTTTCGATATACATTTTATTGATATTTTATTTCGATTTATTTAAAAATGCCTACTCAAGAAGAATTTAAATTAGATAGATTGGTTGCTCGTAGAGAAAATCTTTTTAGTATATAGAACCCAACGCTGTTACGATGTGGCAAAAGACGTTGAAAGAAATCCTAATTCCAGTAGCAAATTAGAAGCCTTTTCTATTCGTTATGCTACTTTTTCCAATGTTGTGCAGGAATTTCACTCAGTTGTAGAGGAAATCGTGATATTAAAACAAAAACTTAAACAGGATGAGGCTCCGAATTATGACTTTCTAAACACCTTTGACGACCTTTATAGTACGATTGAGTATTTAGCAGCTAAATTTTTACCCTCTTCGACTCCAGATCCCCCAGAAAGTACTGATCCAGACAGAAGAGTTCGTATGCCAAAGCTTGAACTTGTAAAATTTTCGGGCGATGACCTATCAGTTTGGCCTTTATTCTATGAAAATTTTAAATATTTGGTTCACCGTAAAAGTGAATTTGCAAAGGCTGAAAAATTACAGTATTTATTGGGAAGTCTTACTGGAAAAGCTTTAGTAACGTGTAATGCGTTTGAAGCTACCCCTAATAATTATGATTCAATTTGGAAATTATTAGAGGATACCTACAATGACAAAAAATATTTAGCCGATTTGTATTTAGATCGAATTCTAAATTTTCGTTCTTCGCCCAGTAGTAGTCCAAACATTTTGATTTAATTTTTAGAAAACGTTTGAAATTAAATGATATTTGCGATTATATACTTACCTACATTGCTCTTTCAAAATTGCCCAAAGATACAATTGATGATTTTGATTTAGTTACCCCTCAAAATGATATCCCAAAGACCTTGTTAAATTTGTTCGCCAAAGAAGTAGGAATGTAACAAGAAATGATAAACCCAAAATTGCTGCCGGTCCTAATTTGTCACATTCTAAACCTAGTACTTTCCATAAAAACCCAAAAACCTTTATGGCCAATAACTTTGCCAAATTCAATTGTATAGTTTGCACACACCAACAACATTATTTGAAAGATTGTTCTGTTTTTAAAAGTTGGCCATTCGATCAGAAGTTTAAATTTGTAAAGGATAAAAATCTATGCATTAATTGTTTCTCAAATAAACATAAAGTTAGTAATTGTCCATCTCGATTTAATTGCACATTATGTCATCAAAGGCACCATACTTTGCTGCATAGAGTCGAAGCGAGCAATAGAGTAAATTTGAATGCTCAAGAAAATAATATACAGTCCACTCCACTTAGCAGTTCTCAAAATATGTGCAATACAGCCCAATTTAATACTCTTTACAATAAATCCCAATTTGTAGTTTTAAGTACCATTGTTGCCAATGTTAAAAACAAATGGAATAAAGTAGACAAGGTTAGATTTTTACTTGATAGTGGGTCTATGCCTAATTTACTTACCTTAGATTGTTGTCAAAAATTAGGATTAAATTTTCATAAATTTAATTCAAAGGTACTAGGAGTGGGGGAAAATATAAATACCCTAAAAGGTAAAACAAATCTTATGTTATTTTCCCAAATCGATCCCAATTTAAAAATGCCAATAGAAGTGTTACTTGTTGATAAGATTACAAACCCGTTGCCAGAATTTCCTATTGACCTTAGCAATTTGGATTATTTGAAAAATTTGCCATTAGCTGATCCCTCTTTTCATATCCCCGGTCCTACAGATGGGATTTTAGGTGCGTCTATTTTCGCCGATTTGATAGGAAATAATAAAATTTCGGGGAAAGACGGATCCCCAACTGCCATTAAAACTACCTTTGGTTATGTTGTCACTGGTTTCGTCCAGCCGTTACAAAATCCACCCACTGAATATAATTTTCATACCTTTATAGATGTAGCTTTCACTTTAGATTCATTAGTAGAGAAAATGTTTCAGTTAGAGGATTTTTCTCAACCATTGCCAAATGATGACGATCTCATTTGCGAGAAAATATTCCTTGATAATGTTAGCCGAAGTCCATCTGGTTGATATTCTGTAGCACTGCCCTTTAAATCCGACCCGGAAGAGTTGTTTGATTCTTATTCGTTTTCTAAGTCCCGCTTATTTTCTCTCGAAAGAAAATTGAGTAGATTTCCTAATCTTAGAAAAACCTATTCTGATATTTTGCAAGATTATATTAATCAAGGACATATGTCACTAGTCCCTTCTAATTTGCAAACTATTCCTTCGTTTTATATACCACACCACTGTATTTTTAAACCTGATAGTGTTTCAATTCCTTGCCTTATTGTATTTGATGCCAGTATGAAAACTGATAAAAACATTTCCTCAAATGACGTTTTATACACTGGTCCCAAACTCCAAAATAATGCTGTTAGCATCCTATTAAATTTTAGACTATTTCCTATAGCTGTAACCTCGGATATTAAACAAATGTATAGACAAATTGAAATTATTCCAGAACATCGACAGTATCAAAGACTCCTTTGGCGTTTTAATACACAAGATCCGATTTCAGTGTATCAACTCAACACAGTCTCATTTGGTGTTAAATCGTCCCCGTATTTAAGCCTAAGTGTTATTAAAAAATTAATAGACGATGAAGTTGCTAACTATCCTGATGCTGTCGGGCCCATTAAAACTGATATGTATATGGATGATTTAATAACTAGTTTTCCGGATTTACAATTGGCTACAAAGTCTTATTTACAAATTGTTGACTTGTTTTCCTCTGGTGGTTTTCAAATCGTAAAATGGATGTCAAATTCATCTGATTTGTTATGTTCTATTCCAGAACATTTTAGACTAACCCAAGTTAAAGATTTTGAATCTGATTTTTTAAAGATTTTAGGTTTACAATGGAACCCCTCAATAGATAAGTTTATTTTTAAAATCACTCCCGTTGATTCTGTCTGTACCAAGAGGCAATTGCTCTCCTTTGTCGCTAGAACTTTTGATCCCTTAGGATTCCTTTCGCCCTTTATTCTTCTTATCAAACTGTTGATGAAATCTCTTTGGGATTTAAATTATAACTGGGATGATGTTGCTCCAACAAAAATAGGTCAACAATGGCATAAAATTCTGTCCGAACTGTCGTTATTTGGTAAGTTTTAAATTCCAAGACATATTTCTTTTTTCCTGGATTGTAGTTTAACATTAGTTGGATTTTGTGACGCCAGCAAATCTGGCTACGCAGCGGTTGTTTATGCCATATCCAAAGGGCCCAAGTTTGTCAATGTTACATTTCTATATTCCCAGGCACGCGTAGCACCTAAATTAGTTGTTACTTTGCAGCGATTAGAATTATGTTCTGCCGTTTTACTAGCTAAAACATTATTTCATATTAAGAGCAGCCTTTCATACCGTATAAACGTTGAAAATATATTTGCACTTACAGATTCACAAATATCCCTCCATTGGATTCATTCTCAGCCTAAAAGGTGGAAAACTTTCACTTCTAACCGAATAACCTTAATCCAGAGCTTAATTTCGTCGGAAAATTGGTATTTCATCCCAGGTAATCAAAATATAGCTGATTGCGCTTCCCGAGGACTTGATCCCGTAGCCTTTATGAAAAACCATGATTGGATCAATGGTCCTAATTGGCTGTCTGATAATACCTCGAATTTGCCTATACAATCGATCAACGATATAACTCTTAACAACAATTTCCCTAAACATGAAACTTGCGAATTAGTCGCCATCGTATCCCTTCCAAAAGTCGAAAATCCCCTTTATTGTATTATAGAATATTTTTCCTCCTTTAGTAAAATGTTAAATGCCACTGCATATGTTCTGAAATTTCTGAAAATACTACCTTGAACCTTTCCAATCATCAAACAAGATCTGGATAAATCCGAATTTTATTTAATTCAAACTATTCAGAACAAATATTTGTCGAATATATTTAAGGCAATTACGGAAAAGAAACCCAAAAAATCCAACATTCGCCGTCTTAACCCTTTTATTAAAGACGGGATAATTCGAGTAGGGAGGAGATTATCTATTTCTTTACTAGACTATGATCACCAGCATCCCATTACCTAAATTGGATAACTTTGTTATAGCCTTAATTGATCATTATCATAAATTATATTGCCATACTGGAGCTCATTTACTTTTATCCCTTTTACGACAAAAATATTGGATTTTATCTGCTAGAACCCTCGTGCGCAAACGTGTTTGGTTGTGTTATCGTTGTTTTAGAGCCAATCCTAAACCATCATATCCTATCATGTCAGATTTACCATCGGAAAGAGTTAATCAAACCAAAGCCTTTTTGACAACTGGTGCTGACTTCACTGGTGCCTACCCTATCACTATGTTTCGCAAGCGATGAGTGAGAAGTCAAAGGCTTATGTATGCATATTTATCTGTTTTATTACAAAGGCCATTCACCTAGAACTCGCATCATCATTGTCAACTGACTGCTTTTTAGCAGCCTTTAAACGGTTTATATCTCGTAGAGGTAATTGTTTAAAACTTTATTCGAATTAACGAGGTTCTAAATCTTTTAGCCTCCCAAGAGTATCGTAATGCCTTTCAAATTGAATTGAATCTTAATAAAATTGAGTTACTTAATAACCCTCGTAAGGCTAGCCATTTCGGTGGCCTTTGGGAATCTAATATTCGTAGCATGAAACTACATTTATCTAGAGTAATTGGAACGCAAATTTTGACTTACGAAGAGTTCAACACAGTGTTGACTCAAGTTGAAGCTATTTTAAATAGTCATCCTTTATGTTCATTAAATCAAGACCCTAATGATCCTATAGCTTTAACCCCTGCTCATTTTCTCTATGGTTCACCTTTAAACTTTTTCCCTGCGGAAACTTCTTATAACGAAAATATACATCCGGTTTCTAGATATAAACTATTAGAATCGATGATTCAGCATTTTTGGAAAAGGTGGCATAGTGAATATCTTTCAACTTTTTAAGAACGCAAAAAAATGGAATACATCCACCCTGCCTATTAAGGAAGGTACTATCGTGCTAATGTTACAAGAAAACCTACCTCCACTTCAATGGCCTATAGGTATTATTGAAAAGGTGTATCCGGGCAAGGACGGAGTTATCCGTGTCGCTAGAGTGCAAATAAAAAATAATTCGTATACTCGTCCAGTAGTGAAGCTCTGTCCACTTCCTACTCAATAGAAATAGTTATTTTTTGTTTCAAAAATTTATATTAATTTGTATCTTAGTATAATATGTGGGTGGATATTATATTTTTTTTTTTGTATATTTATGGTTAGTAATAATTATTTTAAATTTAGTATTTGTTATTTCGCTTGAATTATAAATTCAATTTCGGGGGCCGCAGGATGTTTTGGAAATTAGTGTTGCCTACTTATTAGGAACCATTGCAGGTTCTAAAAGGCATACCTGCGCACAATTTTTAAATGTTAAAGTCAGTAGCGACTTGAATTCTAACGTGAAAAGAATAGGTTACGGATTATTAATATTCTTTTGGTATTTTTTTGCCGATTTCGGGTGTTAATAATAACCACCTTCCTCTCTATCCCTTCTATTTTCCCTCCATAGGTGGTGAAAACCTAATATTTGAAAACGAACCAGCATCTACCGGTAAGTTTTTTATCATTCATTTCGGTTGTGTACATTTTTTTATACGACATTCATATTTTCGGCGGTATTTAACTGTAACACTTTAATTTGAACACCCGTTATATCTGTTAATTTGAATTCTTAGTATAATAAAAAATCTTTCAAAACTCATAAAATTAATGACATTGGCGAAAATAGGGCCACTTTCCTTGGACAATAATTATCAATGATCTTGATAAACCAATTGATTTTTTAAATATTTAATCTAATCAATAGATCTACATTAATTTGAGTGCTTGGTGTAGTTTAATATATAAATGATATATTAGATATTGTTAGTAGTTAATTATGCTTTAGGTTTATGGTTAATACGAAAATTGAAATGTTTTTATAGAAATAAAAAATGGGTGCTTATAAAATAACAGTGGAAGTACCTCTAGCGTTGTGTTACTTCAGTTTTCAACTAGTGGGTAAGTATGTACTTTGGAAAGTTTATAAACTTCCAAAATATCTCCGAATTCAATCGGTATTGTTGTGAAAATAATATTTTTGGGAATTTTTAATTTAAATAGAATACTGACTTGCGAATTGTTAATAAAATCATCTTTTAAATTTAAAAGACGTCAGAGCATGTTATTCTGCAAGAGGACTCTAAATTTAAAAGTAACACAATTAATTAGTTATATTTACTTAATTTTTCACAAAACTACCTTTTTAATGACGTGTCCCCCTTGCTTTTGAATTTGTAAAAAATGGTCTCCTTTAAGGTATTAATTAGTTTCTTTTTCGGTGTCTTACTCTGAATCATACTTTTTTTGTTCAACTGTATAATACAACTAGTGGAAACAAGATAATGGATAAATGCATGAATCAAGAATTATGTTAGTTAAATGTCCCTTTAATCGTAATTTTATATTTGTATGTTATTTTTAACAGGTGTTAAATTTTACGATTTTATATTAATTTATATTTCTTTTAATATGAAATTAACATATGCGTTTAATTTTCAATTAAATAAACGTACGTTAATAGAAAAGTGATACTTTGCCGCTTGAGACAAAAAGTTGCCTCCGCGACCTGTAGCGGAGCGCGACAATATTTTTTCTAATATCATAACTATTTAAGAAATAGATATAAAAACCAAAAATAGTGTATAATGTGTTGCCTATACCTCCGTTAATCATGAAAAAAGCAGTTGATAATAAAAGTCCATGTTAATTTGGATAATATAACAAACATATAACTACTTACAAATAACTTAAAAATCATTTATTAAAAAGAAATATTATATTACAGCTAATTTAAATTAGGCGACCAACAAAGCTGTCAACTTTGCCGCTCGGCGAGCGCCAAAGCTGTCACTTATAGTCATTTTGAGGAAACGTCAACTTTGCTGTTGGATTTCAAAGGGCAAAAGCTTACTTTTTCTAGTGATCGTAGGAAGAAGTACTTGAAACTTACTAATAGAATAAAAAGCATATTTGTGTTTTAGTGTTTGTCAAATGAATGTCACTCTTTACTGTCATGTTTTTGTACATATCGATTATTTTTTATAAATCGATTATTTTTAATTTTTTAAAGGTAATAGAATAATCGATTTTAAAGGAAATACAAAAAAAATATTAGAAAATAATCGATTGATCGAAAACAATCGTTTATAAAGGATATACGAAATGAAAATAGATTATTTGAAAGTATTCGATGAATTAAAAATAATCAATTATTTAAAATAATCGATAATTCTTTTATTTTTTCTATAAAAATCAAATTTATCGGTTAATTGTCTATTTAATTAATAGAATTATTGTTTATTTTTGATTTTTAAATGATAATCAATTTTAAAAGAAATATGAAAAAATAGATTATTTGAAAATAATTGATTGATCAAAAATAATCGATTATTTTAGAACAGATCCATAAGCAATAATTTATTTTGATAATTGCCCACACTTGTTATCCGGTTTCAGAAATATGCATTTCTAGAAGTTTTAAGTGACATATCCTCTATATTTGGTATTTCAAAAGAATAAGCTTTAATGTATCTTTTTCTAAAGACCCAAAAAGAGCATTTTCTCATTTTGACTAATTTTTAATAATATGTAGCCATGGAAAAAATTATTCAACTCACGAACAACGCTTATTTTCCACTTGTTTGATTCATACTATGCACCTGCGACACATTCTGCCAATATAATACTTGTAGACAATGAGTATCATCTATTGTAGTCTCTTGCAGAAATGTTCGTTATTCACATAAAATTTCGTAGCATCTGTTCGATATTAAAAAATCACATTAATTTTTTTTCATAATACATTCCATTAAATATCTCTTAAGTAAATCTAATAGTTAATTATTATGTTAATAAACTAAGTCCGTCCCTGTCACAGAGTGCGGGTCTACGTTAACCTTTCGTTATAAATTGGCAATATTAGGGTTAAATACCGGTGTATATATCTCTGGTTGACAAAAACATCGCTCTAGAGGAAATTTAAGCCGTTCTTGAGAATCTAAGTATTCCCTATACTAAGGTATGGAGAATTATTTTCAAATATCGTAGGAATTTACCTCATTTATTATGGTGTTGACTCCTTCAGAGTCTCACTATTCCTGACTCCCTTCCCCAAATATTGCACCCAGTGCACCGGCCTTGGGCATTCGGCATCAGAATGCTCAAAAAAATCCGCCTGTCCAAACGACGGGCAGCATCATAAACCAGCGTACTACCCCGCCTACTCCATAACCTGCCTATAACGGCAAAAGCCCTCACAAAAACCCGAACAGGTGATGAACCTCCTACCTAGGTCAAGAATTTTTATCCAAATTACTGGGATCGCTAATCCCGACCAACTTCGCCTATCTACGGCCATTTTCGTCTATTTTCGGCCTTCTTCAGCAATCTTCGGCCATTTATGCACCATTACTGGTCATGAAAATTTATCCATATTCACTTATTCTCCGATAAACCCTGACTTTTAATGGATTGTCTAATCTAAACTATAAATTGCAAACGCCTTGCTCGAAAGAGGCCTTTGATCAAATACTTTCTAAATACCAAAAAACTATAAATATTATCTCTAACAGACACTCAGTCTAAACTTCCACCCAGCCTCACTGTGTTTTAAACTGGCCATAAAAACTGTTTTGGGAACGGCTATACTAATTGAAAATTCAATTCCATATAATTTGCGTACACTCCATGTTCATATTGCAGATCTAGACATAATAGCTATAAACCTTCCAATAGACAATCTATTAACCATAATCTTTTACTACAATTACCCAGGCCAAATCATCTCCATTTCTCTGATTATTTATCATCTTTCTTGTGCTGTTTTGCTTGAAGATTTGAACTCCATACAAACCACATGTTCGACTTCTCAAACGCAAACGGCATTCGCCTAGTTATTCTACTTATCAACTTTCCCATACTAAGAGCCTCAAATCGACTTCTAACCTTTGTATCTCAGCAAGGATCATCTATTATTGACCACATTCTTTTGACAGATTATACTACTGGACTGGTTTCTGATAGATGTTTTATTGGAGAGATAATCACCTTCGAATATCTTTCATTGATCTTACATATTAAATCTCTCCTTATCTTCGCTCTACAAAGAGCTACAATTTACACCTTTCGGTATCTCAAAAAAGCAGATTTTTCCCTATTTCAGATAACTATTTCTGCAAATATTCCACAGGACATCGACATACTGGTAACAGAAGTCCAAACTACCATCTCCCACGTCGTAGAAACTTTAGCCCCAGTTACATCCATTAACACATTACAAAAAGCCCTCCCCCAGAACATCCTAAATCTAATTTTTCAAAAATGCCGGTTGTATAGAAAATATATCCATACTCACGGCCCTGTCATCAAAACTAAATGGAATCATCTTAACGCCCTAATCAGGTTCCAAACTAACTAACGCAAACAATAACAACAACGAATCAATATCACTTCTTACTTAAATCATAGATACAGTTTTGGACAAATTTCAACGTATGACCCTCCAATATGCCTGAAAATCAGTAAAAAACAAAAACACGGTTTCATACATAGAAGAACGATGGAGCATCTTCCTGAAACCATATTTCCCATTCTCACACTACTCCTAACGCCCCCCCCCCCCTTTCTCTCTCTCCCCTACTTTCTACTTGCTTGGAAATCCGCCGACACCAGTTTGATTCCCAAAACAAGGCAAGGGCGCCAAATCCTTCGATTCATACCGTCCTATTTCCATCATATTAGTCCTAGGTAAACTCCTTGAATTTTTGCTCAAGGAACAAGTCTGACATTTGTGAAAAAAGAAACATCATCCCTTAATCCTAACTTGGTTTCAGACCTAATCACTCCACACAGGACGCAATCTCCTCCATTTACACTACTGCGCTTACTGCAGTAAACTTCCAACAAATCTCATGTTCAAAAAGCCTTTGACCAAGTCTGGCATGCTGGACTAGTCAAAAAGCTAGTGAACATAGATATCCCCTTCATAGCATCTCCAAACTCATTTACACTTTCTAGGGTCCCACAGAGCTCCGTATTGGCTCATTTCCTATAAATCATACACACACATGACATCCCACCTCCAAACCACACATTGTCAAAATGCATTCTGTAAGCCAACGATACTGCTCTGCTCTCTGTAACCAAAAATTCTGAGCAAGTAAGTGCTCTAACACAAAATCGGCTAAACCAGTATTCTCGCTGGTGTACCACAAAATCCACAAAAAAACATAATTTATTATTTTTAAACATCCTAACTCACAAAGTTCCTCCCAGACGTTAATCTCCTGAGAGTCAGACTCGCTTAACATATGGAAGTTGACTATTTGGGAATACGATTCTCTCATATACTCAACTGGTCTTCTGATGTGTTCTAACGCTCTCTCGATAAGATGCGAAAGCGAGTTAGTCTCCTTGGGGCTTCGTGTGGACGAATAGGGTGATGCAATTCAAACACTTTAATTCACACATACAACTCTTTTATCCGCCTCGTTGCCGAGTACAGAGAGGTACCGTAAGCGGCGTACTGCCTACACATCTTCCCTACAAATTCACTACACTCGAGAGACGTATACTCCGACGATGCCAATATATCCAGCGGAGAAGTATTCAATAATATCTCCAACACTCCTAACCTCATACGTTTCCAAATCCTGAGGATACAATACATCTATAAATTGACACATTTTAACAACTTATAACTCGAGAATTAAAAAAGATATCGAGATGCAGTGTTCACTAGACCTTCTACATTTACTTCAAGTTTTTCTTGACATTGTTGCCACATGTAATTTTTTTCTGGAAAGTGCCGAAAAAAAAAAACGAACTTTTTTGAACCAAAATTGTGAGCTTATGTTAAATAGAACACCCTATAATTTTTAACATCCTCGGAAAGACCATTTCTTCTCCTTTCCAAAAATGTATACATTGTAAGCATTTACTTTATTTTTTAGGAAAACATTCACTTTTTTATGCAACAATGTCAATAACTTCCAAACGTAAAGTATCACAATTAATTAACTTATAATTTGGGAGTAAGGCAATGTATTGATAAAAGGTTTTCACCAAAATTCTTGGAAATGTTTAATTTTTTTTCTGACATAGTTGCCAAATCTTAAACTTGTAAAGTTTTCGTAAAAAAAAATTAAATTCAGATTAAGGTCTTATGGCGAATGAAACATTTCGTATCTCTCATAGTCATTAGATAGTTTATTTCTTCGTCTTTTAAAAAAAGTCAATTTTTTATAATTTTTTTTATTGCTTTAATAGGTTTTAATTTTAGGTAATTAACTCAATGTTAACGGTGTCTATTAAGTTTTGGTGGCACATATCGAAATATAAATTGACGTTTTACATCGAACGATCATTGATAAGATACTGTTTTTCATTGCCTTGTCCCTTAGGTATAAATTTCAGAATAATATCAAGTAATGATATTTTACTTATAAAGACAGAGGGGAGCACCTCATACCACACGGAATTTTGTGGCGTAAGTGGTGTCCCACCATGTTGGTACGTATCTGAATTTTTATTAAATTCTAAAATTATGTACTAAAACATTAATAAATTAATTGTTGAATATGGCCTCCATTTTGTTCAATACATGTATGCAGACGCATTAAAAAATTTGTAAATGCATTTGGCAGCATTTCTGTGGTAATTGTATTAAACACATGAATTATATTATTCCTCAGTTCAGTTAAGTTAGTAGGTGTTGGATCGTAGCATCTATCCTTAACATAGTATAGTTAAATCCGGAGAATATGGAGCTCATTCGATGGGACCAGCCCGACGTATCCATTTATCTCCAAAGGTTGAGTTCAAAGAATTCCTGGCTACAAGAGAGTAATGCGGTGGAGCACCATCTTGCTGGAAATATACAGTATTTTGTATTTCTTCTTGTTCTAGTTCAGGATAAAAGAATAGTTATAGCATATCCGTGTAATTGTTTCCATGTACTGTTTCCTCTTGAAAGAAAAATGGTCCATAAATTTTGGTTTTGGACTCACCACACCATACATTTACCTTGGGAGCATCTCTTCCAAACTCGTTGAAAGCTCTAGGATTTTCGTCACCCCAAATCCTACAATTGTGTTTGTTTACGCGTCCACTTAAATGAAACGTTGCTTCATCTGACATTATAAGATTTACATTTGGTTGATGTCTAAATAAATCTAATAACGTCTCACACATAAAAACTCTCTTTTCAAAAGCATGATTTTTAATTTTATGAAAAGTCTGAACCTTATATGCTTTAAACTTGATTACTTTTAAAATTTTATGCACCTTACTCTTTGAGATATGTATGGATTGGGCAATTTTTCTAATAGATATTTTATTATTGTTTCTTGCTAAAATTTCCCATATCTGTATAATATCATTTAAAATAATATCTTGAGCGTTTTCAATTTGTCTTTTTTTTTTCTATCTAATGTTCCCGTTTCTAGGCTAGGTAACTTATTGCAATCAGGGCAAATCACCCTGAAAAAGAGTATAACTCATATAGCAGGGTATTAGGAAAATAAGATGCCATAAAACAATGTAAAATGACATGAAAAGGTCACTATTAAACTAAAAAAAACATCTCTGGTTCTGTAACCTAAGTTTTTAACATAATACATTTACATAATTACATGTTTCCTTTTTAATTACCATCATAGTTCCTTATCCCTTCTACTAATTCTCATATTCCACTTACTCTCTTTTTTCTAAATATTTTAACAGTTTTTTAATTTTCCTAAATAATTCTTTGTAGGGAACTTAATAGTCAACCTGAACATGTACAAAGTCTGTTACAACATATTGAAGTACCCAGAGGCTGTATGTGTAAGATTGGGTCGATATACTGATAACGCTACTAGAGAACTAGAAAATGAAGTACAACCCTATGCTGGAACTATAACGACTATATCGGAAATGGTTCCTGTAACAATACCGATCGTACTATCGTTGATGATAGGATCATGGTCGGATAAACATGGAAGGAAACCAGTGTTGGTTATTATATTATTATGTATGTCTTTTGTTTTTATGTAAGTTTATATAACTACTTTAATTTGATTGACAACATTTGTATTTCAAAAAAAAAAAACAATAGGAAGATACAGCTGCTACTTACTATATAATAAAATAATAAAGTTTTAAAGAATTTGACTCTGAAATCAAAAATAAAAACTTTGTAGTAGTGTTTAAAAAATTTAAATTGATATCTATAATAGTAAGGTAATGAGGGTGGGTTGCGCCACAGCACTTGTACCTTACTAAGGACACTGTGCATCTCCTAGGGGCTTAAAGGACCTGTCTCTTAGCGCGTCAAAAGCCTACTGGTTCTTGCCGTGAGATACCTAGATATATCTTGTATAGTTCATCAAAATCCTGTGGCTATTTGGTGAACTTCTATGATAAATTTTCACGTGGAGGTATTTTGTCCGCCCACTTCACGGAGCAAATGTGAAATAATAAATAAGGGTTGAGAGGTTAACAATTTTATATATTTTTTACATACTAAGTTTAAATTATTTTTTGTCAGCTAATTTTATAGTACTTCACATTGCAAATACAATAAGGGTGGTCCGGGAACAAATGGTTATCAAGAAAACTAGTCATATTTTTTTGACGTGTACTATTAGTCCTATAAATTTAGCCACGTCTTTATGAAATACCATGTGTAAGTATTTAGTTAAATGTCTCAATATTTTAAAATTATTATTATTTTTAAAAAGTTTAATGACGATAGATCAGTTTTTATTAGCTTCTTTTGAAAGAGGAGGAATCGGCCAACTGACCTGTAATTGCATCAAAAGCATGCTGGAAAACCGGAACATCATTTCATTACTACAGGAAGAGACAGTCATGTCAGGGAATGTCCACAAGGCGGCGTACTTTCACTCCTACTGTAAACCATTCTAGTAGGTAACCTACTAGACGATCTCTTTCGGCTGGGTGTAGATTTCCAATGCTATGTGAACGATCTGGTTATCATAATTAGAGGGAAGTGAGGTGATCTTCAACATCCTTCAACAAGCCCTAAATATGATTAACAGATGATAGTAGTTAACCTCCATAGAACTGTTATCGTCCCCTTTACCAAAAAAACAAAGCTCGTCAAGCTTCGACGAGCTACCTTGGCAGAGAACTATTACTTTTGTAAAGGAGGTAAAATATCCGGGGATTATCCTAGACAGAAACTCACCTGAACCCCCAGTTTGATAAAACTATCAACAAAGCCAGATTAGTTCTCTGAACCCTCAGGAGGATATGCGGTATAGCGTGCCCCACCATCACTGGGACAATGTCAACCACATCACCTCAACCTCTTCACATTTTACATGGTCTCCTATAGACTTTTAAAGGTGGATAGCCATGGAATGCGGAGAACTGCGATGAGACCAGATGGGGCTGATTAGTGAGATTTATAACCACCACATCCTCAGCATGATCTGAGACTCGCTAGTTTCCCGACAGCAAATAGAAAATTCAAACAGCGTCCTCATTTCAGAGAGAGACGTATGTAGCAGATGGGTGATAAAACCATCTCTCAGGCTTCAAAATTGAAAAAGGAGTGGGGATGGGAGTTTTCGGCCAGAAGCCAAGAGAAGACATATCAATAAGCCTAGGCTCTCTGGACACGATCTTTCAAGCAGAAATTATTGTTATAGAATTGGGAGTGAGAAATTTGATAATTCTTTAATACCATACAACCTTAAACTTACGTTGAAAAACGAGGGTGTTCTTATTGGGACAGTGTGTTAATTTGGATACAATTTATTAGTATAAATCCACAAAAATACTTAGTATAATATAGTGTCAATCAGTTTATTTGGCACTAAGATAAAACATAAAACTCATGACACTTTATATGAAAAGTAAAAAAATTAAAAACTCTAAAAGTAAAAATAGTTGTAGCTATCTGCTAAGCAGGCAAATAAAACCATAAGGAAAAAACTAGTTTCCTTCACGGGAATTTTCGAATAATTTTTGTTTTATTTACTAAATTAAAATTTGATCTATTGTAATTTTGTATTTAAATAAACCTACCAATAATAATAAAAAATTAACCAGTAATAAAATATTTTAAAAATAAACTAATAATTAAGTAAATACAGCTTGGATGATATTGAATAAATTGTGCTTTTTCCATTTAAAATCTCACAAAGTATGGAAAATTAGACAAAATCATATCCTATATTGGAAATATTTCCAAGGAGAGATAAATCCAAATTTAAATTGAATACAGGCCTGGATTTTCATTGAGTTTATTTTAGTTTAAATTGTTTTCTTTTTGAAAAAGTTAATGAACTCTGTTCAATTTTTAAACAGGAACTCTTCTTTTAAAATCACCCTTTTAAAAATTGCGTATTTACAGAGATACCGCAGGTTTATGGAGCTACCGCATGTTTATGGGTTTAAATTAAGTTGATTTAACCAAACTTACTCATTTACCAATTTGCTTCGTTTGATCTTAAAAACAAAAAAAAACACAAAAAAAATTGTCCAATGGATGAAAAATTATTTTTATTTCATTTTACTCTTTCATAGTATTAAGTTGGGATGGTAAACAAAGTGAAAAATTCAAATCCATTTTTTTTTTTTTTTCGAATAGGGTACATTATGACGACCTTCTCACGAGACGTTTATGACCACAATAAAAAAAATTGTGTTGCTTTTATTTGGCCATAGGTTAGGTGAGATTAAAACTGAGTAGGATAATCACATCGCCTTCCACTGTGAATAAGATTAATCTATTGTAGCTCATGTCTAACTTATTATTCACCATACATGCTGCACCTTTTGATAAAGACCACGTTTTAATTGGGTAAGATCTGAATAAAGGTGGTAGGTTTCACATCTTTAGATTTACCCGCCTGGTTTAGTTTTTACCAATAATTCCTTTGACAGTGCTCTTTGCAATAATCAGGAATGGTTCTAGTCCTATGTAATCAAGTTCGGTTTTTTTTTTAGCAAGCGCCTCGCCATTTTCATTGTCGTCCACACCGCTGTGTCCCGGAACGCAGATCAAACTAACTTTGTTCTGGACACTGAGACACTCAACTCGATTAGAGTTCATGGCCTTGAGGATTGTCTGGCTATCCGAAAAGATATTTGTTTGCGGGAAGACAATTAATAAACTCTGTCCTTCCAATTCTATAGCACCATTGCTGCTTGGAATATCGTGCCTTGGTTTATTGACAAGTTTGTGTTTTTCCAATTGGTCGTCGTTCCAAGCGAGTTTCTTATCTAGGATAATCCTTAGATATGTGACTGTCGAGCTTTCATCTCTTGGCAAAGGGGACGATAACAGTTTTTCGGGGGTTTACAGACATCTGCTTCCTCTCACACCATCTGTTGATATTATTTAGGGCTTATTAAAAAATGTTGTAGATCATCTCTTCGTACCTTCCCCTAATAATCACAAATATATCGTCTGAATAGCATTGGAAATCCTCCTCCTCTCGAAAAAGTTAGTCTAGCAGGTTATCCACTAGAATGGTCCACACAAGGGGTGAACGTACGCCGCTTGTGGATATCATCTGGTAGGCCTAAAAGTGACTCTTGTTCCCTGGAAAGTTACTCTCTTTCCCAGTGATGAAATGATGTTGCATAATTGGCCATGAAACACCTAGAAAAAAAAAACAAAAACATTTGTTTTTATTTAACTTTGTTGACATCTAGTGGTCAAATGAAGCAAGTTGGTACATGAGTTAATTTAGTTAAATCAACTTTTTATATATCTATAGTAATCTCCATGTACACGTAATTTCCAGATATATAAATTTATTAAAAACATAATTAATAATATCTTTTCAGGTATGACATTGGGATTTTCAATTGGTGCAATAATATTAAGTTTTAAAGAAATTAATCCATGGTGGATAATGAGTAGTACAATCCCCAGTGTTTTATGTGGAGGAATAATGACATTTTTTATTATTGTATTGTCCTATTTAAACGATACTGCCACACCAGAAAATAGGGCTTGGAGGTAAATATAAATTTTAAGACAAAACTATTGTCTAATTTGATATAGGTTATTAGTCCTACAGCCAACCAGCAGATTTGTGACTTATTTTCTTATAGGTGAATTTATTATTAAATTGTGCTATGATACGCGTCCAACGAATTTATGAAAGCGCGACGTTCAGACTGAGACGATAAGGTAGCCATCTGCATTACAACTGGTACGTGCCTCTCAAAAACTTGATTTATTTTTGTTATACTCATTCGACGATACGTGCTTACCTAAATAAAATATTAAACCCTTTACCAACTTTGGTGGAGGCCATTTTCTCTCCAACGTTTTAAAGTAGTGCGTGAGAAGGTATGCTCGTGACTTATTTTTTATGGCTGGCTTCTGGTTTATTTTCAAGTTTCCACAAAATTCACTTCTTCCACAATTTTCACTACGCTATTTTTTCTCTCCAAAGCCAACGTTTTAAAGTGGTACTTATTTTTAAAAAGTGGACGCTTGTACCAAAACAAGATAAAAAGATACATTTTCACTAAATTAATGTTTATTAAAAATATTGGGCCGTTTCTCTTGTCCAACGAAAATAATAAATTTAAAAAGAGAATAAATTTTTTAAACATAAAAACGTAATAACTTGATAAATTATTTGGCGAAATGGATATAATCTAGGAAAACGAACTTTAAAAATTACCGATTTTTACATTTTGTGTAATTCAAGTTAAACGAAAGTCCACCTTCTGGATAATTTTTTTAGGAACTTTTTGTAAATAGATCTCCCCGCTGTTCACGGCACTCTATATATTTAATATCTATAACAGCGTCTGTCTACAAATCACGAACAATATTCATGTGCTTCAGTCTTTTATGTTCCCAACGCTCCACGGAGAAAACACAGGACTGATTATCCTCGTAGATGGTAGGAATGTCATTAAGATTGACATAGATTTCTTTTATTAAATTAGATACCCAGATTACTTCAGTCACAGTAGTAGCAAGTGCAAAGAACTCAGCTTCAGTTGACGACAGAGCAATTGTTGCCTGCTTTCGTGTGCCCCATGAAACTGTTGCCCCGAGTAATTGTAGCCTATACCTGATTGTTGACTTGTTGTCTTGACTAGTTGCCCAAGTGGCATCAGCAAATGCATCAAGGTAAGAGTCAGTACTCTTCTGGTAAACCAAACATAGAGTTTGATTAATTTTTATATATCTAAGAATTGTTTAAGGCTCCAATGCTCATTTGTAGCTCATCTTTGAAATCGGCTAAAGAAGTTTATCGTAAAAGTTAAATCGGGACGTGAGTTTAGCAGTAGGTACATTAGCTGCCTATTAGCTCCTTGTATGGTTTCTCTTTTACAATACAATTAGACTAGGTAACATTTGCTGATACTTTAATTTCCATTGGAGTCTTTGCAGGTTTACAATTTTTCATATTGAATTTATTCAGTAAATTCCTTAGAATCATTTTATTTGATTGTCTTTCAATCTTTATTTCAAGAAAAGAATTTAGCTCACCAAGGTCTTTCTTTTGAAATTCCAACATTAGCAGTTGTTTAGTCTGGTTTAGCATATTTAGATGGTTAGAAGAGAGTGACAAATGAGCGACATAAATCAGTAGATAAGTTCTTACTGTCTATTCAAAAAGAAAGTACAGGCATTTGTGATTCTTGCATTGAGTAAACTTGATAGATTTTAAGTAAGAATATACCAGTTTGTTTTAAGTTCTCGGTGCCTGTTTGAGTCCATATAAACTTGTTTAGTGTACAAACGAGATCATTATCAAATGCAAAAACAGGAGGTTGCTTCATGTATACTTTGTGTATTAGCTCACCATGTAGACAAGCATATTTTACATCTAGTTGAATAGAATATAAATTATAGTTGTCGATTACTGCTAGCCTAATTTTAACAGTAGTAATATGTGCTACTGGGGCATATGTCTATTGGTAATCACAACCCTTTATCTGTAAGCAACCTTTAACTAATAAACGTGCTTTATATCTTTCTACTTTACCATCTATATCCTATTTCTTTTTAAAAATCCACTTGAAATTGGTGGCTTTTCGATTGGAAGGTAACTCTGTTAGTGTCCATGTTCGATATTGATGAATTGCATCAAATTCTTCTTGGGCAGATTTTAGCCATTAATCCTTGTCCTCGCGTTCATACATTTCTTCAAAATCTTGAGGTTCATCTTCAACATATACTTCTCCAGCAAGGGCTAGACTATAGGCGTAGACACATTCATGAATTTTCTGAGACTTCGTTTAATTCATCAATGCATTCTGATTGAACTTCTCGAATTAAAGACTTTGCCTATATTTGAAAAGGGTTCAACTGCAGATTCGTTTTCTAATGATGTGGAGGATTTTTCTGGATCTGTAATTTGGGTTGTCCTAAGTAAGGTCTACTCATTAAAAACAACGATCCGATTACTTTTCTTTATTGCGGATACCACAGTCTGTAACCGTTTGGAAAATAACCAAACACGAAGTAACTTTTAGATGGCGGAGAGAATTTAGATTTTAATTGTACATTAGGTAGTCGAACTTTTAATTTGCATCCAAATATTCTTAACTTTTGAAGATAAGGTTTTCTGTCATACCACAATTCAGCAGGTAATTTATTCCTAAGGACAGCTGTTGGCCTCCTATTGATTGTATGTACTGTTGTAACGACAACTTCTGACCATAATTCTTTGGATAATTTTGAGTCAGCTAACATACAACGAGATTGTTCTTAAATAGCACGGTTCATATGTTCTACGATCCTATTCTGCTGTGGTGTATGGGTTATGGTTTACTTAATTTGAATACCATCTTCAGCTGTATACTCTTTAAATAGCCCAGTAACATATTCTCGTCCATTGTCGCATATTAGAAGACTTACTTTGATATTAAAATAAGAAGTAGCCATTGCTACATACTTTTTAAAATACTTATGCAGATTTTTGGTATCTCAATTTATTCCAACTCATCTTTTACAATAACTATGCAACTGATAACTGACGTGAGGATTATCGACTTATGTAGCTTTCTTTTACCTTCTCGAACCTTCTCAAACTATCTAGATTCTTTTTGACGTGGAATGACATTTCTCAAATATTCTCTCTTCTTCTTTTGCTCGTACCTTTACTTATCACGACTGGAACACGCTGCATGGTGCTGCGTAGCAATTTTCATATGCTTCAAACTTAGCATTCACTGGACAACAAACTACAAAATGTGTGTAGTCATCAATTATTCTCAAAATATATCGTTTTTCATCATAAGAGGTTGGATTCAGAGGACCCATGACAATACTATGTATCACTAGTAAGGGACGTACAGATCTAGAACGTGGTCTAATATGTGGAATTTGGGTCTACTTTTCTTGAAGGCAATAATCACAGATTATAACAAAATCTTTATGTGAGATTTTAAGGACCTTTGTCATTAAAGAAAGTTGCGATAGGTTATTTTTACCGATGTGCCCTAAACGTCTAATTTAGCTTGATTTTGAGAACTGGGAATGTTGACTTGTTTTGAGTAATTTTGTATAAATTTTAAGATGTACATACTATTTGCTTTTGGGCGAGAGCTAAGGGAGTATTATCCTTGTAGAGAACAGCTCTGCCTCCTGTGGAGACAACTCTTATTCTGTTAGAATCCAATTTATTAACGGATAATAAATTAAATCTTATATCGGGGACAATAAGAATTCTTGTCACATTGACTGATCTGGAAATGTCGTCTTGATCATTGATGTATCCATGTAAATTTCCAACTTAAAGTGCATGAGTGTTAATGCGACTTTGCTACTTTTATTGTAATTGGTGCATTTAACGGAAGCATGTTTTTTAATAACTGTGTATAGTGGTCACTTGTGATCTGTAGCGCCAGAATCTAGAAAGAATTGTAGCTTTTCTTTATTGCCATCAAAGTTTTCATATCTACTTACAATGAAATATATCTTCTTCATAAAATTGGGGGAGGATGACATTTCTATTTTCCTTAATTTACGGCATTCAGATTTCTTGTGACTAATTTTCTTACAAAAGCTGCATATTAACTAATATTCAGAAAATCTTTTATTTTCAGTAGAAGATGATGTCTTGCTCTTAATTGGAACATTTTCTGTACGTTGTTTCATCGTTAAGGTTGAAAATTGTCTAAAACTAGCTCAAGTTGACCTGCATGTTTCTTTCGCTATTCATCAAGCAATCTGCTTTATACAAAACTTAGATTTAGTCCTCCAACCGATAATGTTTCTAGTGCAGTAACTACTGTATCATATTAAAATGGTATCGTGAAAAGAAGATGGTGTACTGTCGGTTTCTTGTAAATTGGCTCCAGTTGACCTTGACTCACGAAATAATTTTTCAAAGTTTATTAAATAAATTTCTAAATTTTCTTCGGATGGATTATACTTCATCTTTTACAACTGTTTTCGGAAAAACAACTGGTTCGCAATGTCGTTACGCTCAAATGTATCTCTTAAAAATTTCTAGGTATCAAATGCGGTTTGCTGGTCTTTAATACATTTTAAGTAATTGTCTGATTTCGTTGAATAATTTGAAATTTGTATTTGCAGTCTAATTTATGCAGTTTTTCTAATTCTGCTTTTTTAGTTCTACTGCTGGTAGTTGAGCAAGTAGTTAACGCATCCTCTTCAAAATGAACTCTTTCTTTGTAATTGGTTTGGATAAATGAATGTAAATCTGGCTCATCCAGTAACATCTAAAAAATATCGTATACAGAGTGATGTCTTTGACATTGATATTTTATCACACTTTAATAATTAATTCAGCTATAAGAAAATAAGTCTCTTGTAGGCCCACTCACACACCACTTTAAAACGTTGGAGAGAAAAATGACCCAGCGAAAATGGTGGAGGAAGTGAATTTTGCAAAAAACAGCAAAAACTTGAAAATGAACCAAAAACTAGCAATAAGAAAATAAAACATGTACATGCCTTCTCACGCACTACTTTAAATGATTGGAGACGAAAAATGACCAATTGAAATTGGTAGAGAGTTTAATATTTCTTGTAGGTGGGCACTCATAGTCGAATGAGCCTAACGAAAATGTTAAAAAAATAAGTCAAGTATTGAGAGGCACGTACCACTTGTTATGCCTATAGCTACCTAAGTACACCAGTCTAAACATCGTGCCTTCATAAATTTATTGGACACGTATCATATTACAATTTAATAATAAATTCAGCCATAAGAAAATAAGTCACAAACCTGCAGGTTGGCTCTAGGACAATATCTCTCTCTGTAAATATATACGACAATCATACTTATGCAGATTTTACTACAATATTTTTTTAATAACATAAGCCTGATCATCGTCTTATGCTCGAATTGTTTAGGAGTTTTCCAATTAAATAGTGGTTTATATATTTTTTGTTTTTCCTTTTTTAAACCATCTTTTTTATTACAGAATGGTCAGTATTGACGCCATCCAAATTGGTACAACACTCGCAGGAGGTATAAGCAGCTCATTTATACTATATGCTACTAGTTATTCATCGATATATGGAACCTGTGCCTTACTGGTAGCAACGGGTTGTGCTTACGCTTATTTCTTCTGTCCAGAATCTCTAAAAAGGAAATCCGAAGAAAAACCGACTATCAAAAGTCTATTTCAATGGAACAATATAACAGATTTGTTTAAAGTGGCTTGGAGAAAACGAGAATATGGAAAAAGAACACTAATTTTCCTTCTCATGTCGTCTCAAATAATTGTTCATTTCGTAGTATATGGAGAGGTTACTGTTAAGACATTATATTTGAGAAATAGATTTAACTGGACCATGCAGGAGAAGAATATTTTTAGCGCTTATTCTAGTGTGTTGATAGTGATTTGTACAATTGCCTGTACATATTTGCTTCACAAAAAGTTTAAAATTAGAGAAGGTGTGTTAGTTATTATGTCTTTGACGTCTACCATTGCAAGTACTCTGCTGTTTGCACTTAGTAATACAGATAACTTCCTCTATATATGTGAGTACCGATATTTTTTAATGATCACCTCTAGAGTAATAAACAATCTTACCCAATCGTTAGGATAACAGTAAGCCTTTTTACTGGATACTGTCGCCTCAAAAGGCACATGAGTGTCATAAATCCAGCAGAAGAACCAACTTTGTGCAGGTTCTGTGAAGAAGAAAAGGAAACATTATTCCACATTCTGTGCCAATGTGTAGGCTTGGCTGGAATGAGGTTTCTAACATTGGGCAAAGAAAAGCCAAATGCATGCAACTACATGCGGGAGCCACTGTCAAAGCTACTAAGTCTAATAAAAAAGACCAGGCTAGACGACGTACTCTGAAACATATGGAGTCTCACAATAGATCTGAAAACGTCGCGGTGGACAAGAACAAATAACGTCCTAATCTAATATAATCTAATCTACCCAATCTTAAAATAATAAATAACAAAATTATCTCAGTATTTTACCTACTGGTTTCTAAAGCATTGACTTTGCTTTTGACGCCAATTCAAAAGATTTTTCGGTTTAAATTTTTTCACTAAATTCCCTTCGTTCAGAAGCTAGATAACTTTCACATTCGTGTTATGGAGGTGTTTATTATTTGTCTCCAAACTTTTTTATTGATTTGTCAACTGTTGCACTGTACACAAATTTTGAATGACATTAATATTTCTAGGATTTTTATAATTTTTATTACTTTTTATTACTATTTAATATAGGAATGTAAATTTTAGCTGCAGTAGCTGGTATGTTTTCTGGACTAGCAATACCAATGACACGAACAATGATGGCAAAACTAATCGTTCCTGAAGAAATGGGAAAACTGTTTTCCCTAGTAATGGTTATAAATACTATCGGTATGTTGGTGTCATCGGTGATGTATCAACAGATATATAATACAACAATGAAAAATCACCCAGAAATTTTTAACTATATCAGCTTTGGGTTGTATGCTTCGGTTGTGGTTATTGTAATGTAAGTATAGAAGACGACACAGATACATTTTACTATTCCACAATTAAATATCAACTTAGAAAACACAGTTGTCAAACTACAAAAATAAAGTGGTGCGATGAATTCCATTACAGCTAAATGACTGTGTACGTTAACAAATATGCTGGAACCGAGTGTCAAATAAATATTTTATGGCTTGCATCGCTGTACGATGAGAATCTGTCGGCTCGATTAATTATAACACCTTAATTTTAGCGTCTCCTATTGGTCGAATCGAATTTTTATTTGCTGTAGCCCAAGATAACTTGTAAGAAAAGACGGTAAACATGGACTGGGATATCCAATAGTAATTCTGTAATTTTGTTTAACTCTTCTTCTAATTGGTTATTTGGCACGCTTCTATGCGTTATCGTCATGTTGACTGAGCACAGATGGACAACATTTGTTTATCCAGTGTTGTATTCACATTACTGTTTGGATTTTTGGTTTATAAAAAAATTTCTTTTTGGAGGCCCTTTGAAAGTGATGAAAATAATGTAATCCCTAAAGTCATGTAAATAGTTATAATTTTGACTATTTTTTAAATAAATAGGATCAGTTACACCTCAAAAAACTAAATTGATATTTACATACTCACATACATTGTAAAATTTAAACAGTTCAAAGTGGGCTTTGGCAGTTTAAATTATTAGTTAAAGGTTATAGTGGAAAATGTTAAAATTTGGCTTAAAACTGAGGGTCAAATATTAATATATACTGAGAAAATGTCAAAAATATAAAATCTGTACGAGAATACTATATTAAAAAAGTGACAAGCTGAATTTATATTAATTAATAACTACTAAACAGATGAGACTTTAAGATTACCATTTCAACATTTATGGTACAATTAAAAATAACAAACAATTGGCATTTATAGTAAATTTTAGTAATATATTTTTTAAATTTTTGTTGATCCCGTAAACATAGGATAAATGCCAAACTAAAATTGAATATTTTCGTTATATTATTTAAAAAAATATTGTTATTTAGATTTGTATTATTACATTTACCCCAAACAACGCGCTCTTATCCCAAGTGATCCTACATAATTATATGCAGAACCCATCAAAGTTTCTTCTGAAAGTAAAGAAGAATGGGAGGAAGAAGACGAGGAGGACGAGGGGGATGATAATAACCAAAAATTTGGTATGTAGATGTCACCCTCAAATCAAAAAATTATTTGAAATATGTACCACCAATTAAAATTGAAAAATAATCGATCCAATTACGGTGTCACAGAAAGAATACATAATTGACAAAAAATTCAAAACTTTCGATTAGAAAAATTATTGCGAGCCAAGAAAAAAGCGGAATGAATGATCTCCAGTTAGTCTAGATTACTGCATGATGGAGAATATTAGAAGAAAGTTTTGAAATTTTTATTTTAATAATATCGTGCCGTATTTTCAAAAGATTAAAAATTAAATAAAGTTGTTTCCCGGTTTCCCTTACAAATCTGACAAAACCACTAGAAAAGTGCTCCATTCTTAGAGTTTTAGATATCCTACCTTAAATAAAAGACAGTATATTAGAGAATCTTAAAGAATTATAATTTTACGTAATGAATACGTCACTATAGTAGATAAAGCTCGACAAAATAAATTCATACTGTATATTGATGAAACTTGGTACAACACTCAAGATATTGTGAGAAAAGGATGAAGTGATCAATCTGCTAAATGTTCTGTGAATGCTCCAGGAAAACGTATTATAATATTACAGTCCGGTAATGAACATGGTTTTGTGTCAAATTGCTTGTTATTATTAGCAAAGGATATTTTGAGTTGTTCAGCAGATTATCATCAATATTATGACATCTACCTTGTTTGAGAAATGGTTTGGTAAACAATTAATTGCTAATTTGCCACCAAATGCTTTTATAGTAATATCCCTTACCACTCTCGTCAAACAAGTGAAATCCCAAATTCGAAAGCTCGAATAGAGGCAATTTCCGCGTTTTTGAACAAAATGGGTGCACCATATCCACCTACAGTTTTAAAAACGATTTTCTTGCAATATTGAAAGGCTAAAATCTCAAACCTAGCCATGTTGGAGATTAGATGGCTACGGCATTCGTTCAGACCGTAATACATTTACCACCGTATTATCGTACATTAAATGACATAGAATTAATTTGGAGTAATATCAAAATGGAGGTAAAAAAAAATTAATCCTGCGTTGTCTGAAACCGTTTTAGATGTTATCAGAGAAGTTGTTGGAAGTTTGTTTATTTCAAGAATTATGCTCCAATTGCGTTCTCCGTCTTACCAAAATTAAAAAATTAATCGATTTACCTTAGGGAAGATCAATTGTAATTTTCCGAGCTTGTATTACATTGTAGTTTCCTTGAAACCTACTCATCAGCACGTATTTTTTTAGAGTAGGCAAAATGCCCCATATTCACTGCTCCTATCGTATAACAAACCTGCATATCATTCCGTTGAAGTGCGTGTTACGAAAATCACCTTATATCTGGAAACTAAATATGTATCCACATATATTAGGGTGCGTAACATTGGTGATAGCGGTGGGATTCAAACCCACGCACGAAAAATAAAGGGCGAGAAGATGAGAAGGAAAGACGCAGGAAGGACGAAGAAAAAGAGAAGAAAGAGAGGCGTAAGAAAGCTGAGGTAGAAATTATAAATGGTTTGCTACATATTCAAGAAAACCTTAAGCAGGAGGTAGGTCAGCTAGACAGCAGAGTAGATCTATTAACAAAACAACAATATCATTTAAAAGCCAATTTAGAATAGCAGTAAGATAATTAAAAAGTCAATTTAGAACACCAGCAAGACAATTTAAAAGCCAATTTAGAACAGCAGCAAGAAAATCTAAAAACTACTTTGGAGTACTTAAAAACGAATTTAGAAAAACAGCAAGATAATTTAAAAGGTGACTTAGAGAAAGAGCACGTTAATTTGAAAGCTAATTTAGAACAACAAGAACAGGCTAGAGTAGAGTTGGAAAGGAAAATTAGAGCTGAAATAGCTGAGATAGAAAAAAGAATTCGCAGCCAAGCTTCAGTAAACAACATTGTAGCTGAAAACACTACCTCGTCTTCATCTATAAACGACGCAAGCCATATTTGAATCCCGGTCTCACAAAACCCTAGTAGCAAGACCCGAAAGCCACCCACGTTTGACGGTCAGACAACATAGGAAACATATCGACTCCAATTTGAAGCTACAGCTAAAGCCAATGGCTGTGCCGAGAAAGAGATGGCGTCTTCATTGATAGTGTCACTACGAGGTCAGGCAGCAACTGTTTCACAGTTAGTTCTTTAAGAAGAACCCAGTTATTCATCTCTCGTCCAAGCGTTGGAGACAAGATATGGCCAGCAGCATTTGAAACAGGTATTCCAAAGCCAGCTAAAATTTCATAATCAGAAACACAATAAGAGTCTACAAGAATTCAAAGCCGATATTAAAAGATTGCTGCATCTGGCCTATCCACAGGCACCGAAAAATTTCTTAGAAAAAATCAGCATACAAGCATTCATTGATGGACTACAGGACGTTGATATGCAGCATGCTCTTCCGCTACAACATTACAAGACGTTGAGTAAGACAGTTATTGCGGCCCAGGAATACGAAGCAGCAAAAAGTATATCAATATCTTCTCGCGCAAAATTGAGAGAAATTCGATTTCAAGAAAGTGAAGGCCAGTACTAATACTATCCCTCGACCTGATTTCTCACAACTCCTAAATATCCTGCAAAGTATGCAACGAAATAGACGAAATGAAAGCAGAAGATGCTTCATTGTGGAAGAATCGGACACCTTCAAAGAAATTGTCGAAGCAAAAACTGAAATCGGGGCGAATAACAAGAGAGGAGGGAGCAATGTTACGCAGCACCCTGCAGCGTGCTGCGATCGTCATAAGTAAAGATACTACTAAATAAAGAAGATAGAATAGTCCATAAATGTTTCGAAATGTCATTCCTTTTCAAAGAAAAATCTGGATTGTTCTAGAAGGTTGAGGCAAGCTATATAAGTCGACGACCTGACGTCAGAGTTCAGTTTTATGATAGACGTTATACGTTAATGTTATCAGTTGTATAGTTATTGTAAAAGTTTGGTTAAAATAAATTGAGATACGAAAAACCTTCGTAACATTATTTTATGTGTGCATATTTCGTTTAGTCATCCTTTTGAATTCGAGAATTTTCAGTTCTTTTTTGTCCCATCCTTAATGTATTTCATCTAAATACATATAGTTTTTTAATGAAGCCCCTTATTATATTATATTTTTAATTTTTTGTTTTTCAGATTTGTAATGATTTTTGAATCTCGTATACCAGGTGAGGACATTGATGAAAAGAATAAAAACGTTATAAATAGTGAATAAATAATTTAAAATAATAGAATTTTATTTGGCTCATAATTAACTTACCTAATAGATCTTGAGATTTATCGAAAGAATAGACAAAATTATATAAGTGTTGTATAAAAATTTCGCAATATATAATAATAAAAATGTTTATTCTTTCTTTCAATGCATATAAAATTTCATCCGTCAAATAATTAGTAAACAATTGTTGCAGTAATCCGCGTATTCTTGTATTTTCTAAGACCTCTAACATCTGAAAATGATCAACAGTGTCGAAGGCCTGCGCAATATCCGCAAAGACGCATAGGAGTGGTTTATTACTTTCCAGATACTGTATACTTTTTCCCACTAATTTTGGAATTGCATCATTTTTGACAGACCCTCTCTAAAACTAAACTGTTTTTCAGAAATTACGTTGTGTTTGTTAAAGAAGGCCACTAACATATTTTTTATTGATTTTAGCTAATGATGTAATAACAGAAATTGGCATGTACTTAGTTATCTTTCATTCATCTCATTTTTTATGGATAGCAGTAACCACTGCAATTTGAAAAGTTGGAGGAATATTACACGATTCAAAAATTGTATTTATTAAGTGGCATATCGGTTTTGCTAAAATAGCAGACATTTGCTTATATGATTATAACCTTGTTTTAATTCTATTCAATCCAACTGATTTTTAATTTTTTAAAGAATTTGTTATTGTAACTATTTCCGATTCAGTTATTCTTCTATAACTAGTTTTTGAATTTCTTTTTTATTTTTTGAGAAATTTTTGATAACTTTCACAAATTTTTTAGAGTATATTTATTATTATTAATTTGATTTGAATAATATTTATATTTTGCTTTTTTTATCAATTTGTTTAGATATTTTATAATTAAAATATTTTTTTTAATACTGTTTGTAGGATCCTCTTTATATAATATATACAATTTATTTTTTTTATCCTTTTTTACGTTTAATATTAGATCTTTTAATTTTTTTATCGAAGTATGTTTTGTGATAGCATTCTTTAAAATATCTATTAATTACTTAGTAAAGATATTTACGTCATTTTTATATAATAGTCTCCCAGTTAATATTTATTAATTCTAGATTTAGTGTGGTAGTTATAGTAATGTATCTCTCGTTTTGTATTATTAGTATAAATATATTCGAATCTAGTAGGTAAACATAAAATAGTGGATCTATGATTGGATATGAAATTTTCAAAAACGATAGAAATACTATTTCTTTCAATATTGTATTGCTGACTTTTTGGAAATATATGGATGTAAAAGTGTACTCACTTAAAAGATCTAGATATTGATGTACAATAACGCATTCTGTGTTCTCATTTTAATATTATTATCACCCAGCATCACATGTAAAAAAACATTCAAACTTTTTGTTTTTCCTAAATAAAGGCCAAACTCTCTTACGAAATTTTTTTCGCTCACACATGGAGATCTTTAAATGCATGTAAGTAATATAGTTTATCCTTTTTTAATACATTTTTTACTTATAAGGCTTTACAATATGCAATATGTACTGTTTTATACGAGTAATCATATTCTTTTTTATAATCTCACTACTCCATAATTCCTGTCGTACTCACCGTCAGATAGTGACTGATTTAGGTGCCCTATTTTCGCATACAAGCCTCGAAGAAGTTTGAAAAGTACTTCGATGTTTAGTAGAATAAAAGGAAATTTACAAATGGCCCCTGGGGATAACATATGGGAAATTCGATATTCCTTAACAGGAACAAAATATGTTTGTTGCTTATATTTCCACGCAAGCCGTGTCCACTAAATAATTAATTAATAAAACTTAGCATGGGAAAATCAAAGGCTTTAGTGTGCCAGGGAGTTAAAATAAGGTCGCAATTTTGTAAAAAAATTAAGAGTTTAACTGATTTTTTCACACTAGCCAATCGAGAGTATAAATACGTACATAGTCACTAGCCCATAAAACATATTGGCTTGGGTGGTGCGAGAGGACAAGTCCATTTTGGGGTTGGAAAATTTAACAGAAGTTTTTTCTATTTTTTTCAGTTGTTTTCCCATCAACAAAATTTTTTGCTATAAAAATTTATGAATTTAAAAACGCATAAAAAAATAATAGCTTGAGTGTAGAGCGTGGTCTTTATATTTTCAAAACATAAGATAGTTTCTGGAAAAATTTATGAAAATTGCCACCATTTCCTCACACAAGGCGTTTAACATATGCTTAGAAAAAGTGATTCTAATACTATATAACAAAAGGGTAGAAAAGAGCTGACAAAAAATTTACAAATAATATTTATGCAGGGTTATTATTATTTATTGTTCTATGATACTATTTTAATTTTCTTTAACATTTTAACTTTAATAACATTGAATATATAATTATTATTTAAGAAAAGTGATATCTATATTTTTTATATTTTAGGTGTAAATTTTAATATAAATTATATGCTGAAGTAACAATATGTTTATTTTATAGAAAAATTAATATATTCTTTTAAAGGGATATTAACAGATTCGTTACAAATATATGTTGTGCCATTTTTAATTATAAAATTTATGTACCTATGTATAAAATCAGAATGCAGCTACTAAACATGAAAAAGTAGATATTCTTAAATTTAATGACCATCAAGTATTCTATAGAGTAGATAATTCGTTAATAGTTATTTATGCGACAAGTGCAAAAAGTAAGTGTTTATTGCACGCGACGTGAAATTGTCCAACGAGTCCGTTAGGCCGAGTTGGACAACATGTCGAGTAATTATTCTTATTTTTATAATTAAACCTTTTTGGTCAAAATTGAAATCACAGGTTGTTGTGTTCATTACATTAGTTATTTTTCTACAAACTAAATAATTGATAAGTACTGTGATATATATTTATTTAGCTAATCAAATAAAATATTAGAATTTTTACAATCATTTGAAAGTGCGTTAAGTTAGTAAATATTTAAAATGTATAAAATTGGTCGTTAAAATTAACTAAATTCATTACCAATATTTTTAAAATAAATTGTATATTTTTTATATGAAAACCATAATATGAAGACCTATATCCTGTGCATTATTTTCATAATATAACACGTTATTAAAACTTATACTAAATTATGCATTTAAAATAATAACCCTGCATAAATATGCCTTTCATTATATGGTCTTAAAATCACTGTGCCAAACGGCTTGTGTGGGAAAATTGTGAAAATTTTTAATTTTTTGTCAATTTTTTGTTAAATAAATTATATATAATTAATAGACTATGTCCTTTTGTCATATAGTCTTATAATCACTTTTTCTAAACAAATGATAATCGACTTGCGTGAGAAAATGATGGGTATGTTTTCCATACAATTTTTCTCCAACTTTCCGATGCAAGCCTTCATTCCGTCTATATCCGATGTTATGTTGGGAATGGGATGTTAATACATCCCCAACATCCACATCCAAACTCATGCCAATTTTGTTATCACGTCTAACATATTAATAACATTCAATGCACTTATCCATTCGTGTCATTCAAGCCAATATGTTTTTCGGCCTAGTGACGATGTATGTTTTCATACTTTTGACGGGCTTGTGTGGAAAAATAGATTAAATAATCGATTTTTCTTTACAAGATTACGTCCTTAATTTAACCCTTTAGCTACTTGCAACATTCAAGCCATTGGTTTTTGGAAGCCAAGTTCTATATATTAATAATTCAGTAAACACGGCTTGCGTGGAAATATGAGCAAAAAACACCTTTTATTTCTGTTAAAAAAAATTGAATTTTCCATATGTTATGTCCAAGGGCCACTATCTGACGGTCTATTTGTAATTGTCTAATTAAAATAACCCTTTGTCTAATATATGTAGTGTTTCTACGAATATTAAACAATTATAACTGCAATCTGTTTTATCTAACATTATATGTATTTCATCAAATTAAGAACTCTATCTTAAATATTTTAATAAAATATTTTGTAAAACAAATTTTTGTCTGACGTCAATACTGATTACATTCATCCAAATTGTAAAATTCTTTTGTATCTATTGGCATATGTCCCAAATATATGGACCCGTCATTATATGCATATATTTTTTAGTTTAAATTACCAAAACACCTCAATTCTCTCTTCAAAATTAAGAGAAATATATTCTTAATTCTAATGAAAACAAATCAAAAATAAAAATTGAAAAATTTCAATTGAAACAAGTATTGGAAATTAAAAATTTAAAAAAACCGATTTTAAAAACGTGCAGATGTCATCACCACATCTTAACCAAATTTATATGGGACCACCCCTGAGGTACCCCCTTACTAACAAAAAAGAATCATATAAATCGGACAAGGTGGTAAAGCATTATTGCTAAACATACAATAAAAATGAAGAGTTTGAGGATTTTCTCATGGAGCCAATTATTCGATTTTGACCAAATTTATATGGGTCCACCCCTGAAGTACCCCCTTTCCAATTAAAAAAAAAATCATGGAAATCGAACATCGTGTTAAAGAATTATCGCTGAAAATACATAAAAACAAAATTTAAAAAATATTGCGACGAATTGAGAACCTCTTTCTTTTTTGAAGTTGGTGAAAAATGTGCCCCAACCCGTATCAAACTCTGGATCTTCGAATTTGCTAATCTTTTTAGCCGGTTTTCTTCTTCGATGGAAGTTTTCGTCTGACAAGACGATTTCATAATTCATTATTGCGCGTGAAAAGTCAAAAAGTGACAAATTTATATAAACAATAATCCAATTCGGTTGTAAACTGTCGGCACTAAATTCAATGATCTACGCTATTCGTTGGGTAAACCCAGTAAAGTAATTTGGATTTGTAATCTATAGCAGATTTCCAAAAAAACTGGCACTTAATAAAGGTTACCAAAAGGACGGATGACAAATTAATGTCTGACGTCTATGAAGAAATAAAAGTATAAGAAGGCATGTTAAAAGTGCAAGTTTCTATATCTTAGGAGAAAGTTTAAAATCGATTATTTTTTATAAACCGCTAATTTATTCGAATTGCAACAAGAGTACATTTTATTGGAAAAGTTTGATCAATGTATGAATTTTAAGCTATTGAAATTGGTAAAACCAGTTTAAATTAAATATAATCTTCTAATTGTTAAAAAAGCTACGGTCCTGTCCTTTGTTGGCCAGCGAAT